GGAGATTTTCTTTTTTAGAAAAAGGAGTTGATTCGTGAGGATTCATTCATTCATTCAACAAATATTTGCTGAGCCCTACTATGTGCCAGGTGTTGTTCTATCCAACGGGGACACAGCAGTAAATTCCTCTGCTCTCATGGAGTTTACATCCGAATGGGGGAGAAAGACAATAAACAAACAAACCAATATATAACATAATGTCAGGTATGAAAAATGCTATAAAAGAAATAAAACAGGGCTATGTGACAGTGACTGCAAGGAAACTGCTGGTTTAACTGGGGTGGTCAAGGAAGGCCTATCTAGAAAGCCAAGTGAGAGACTCAGCCCACCTGAGGGAAGAGTGCCCCAGGGAGAGGGAGCTGCAAATGCAAAGTGGGTGAAGCGGGAGCACATGTGGCTTCTGTGAGGAACAAAGAGGCCAGTGTGGCCAGAGCGACAAGAGAGATAAGAAAGACAAGAGAGATAAGAAACGAGTTGAAGGGGTAGCAGGAGCCAGATCAAGCTGGGCCTTGTAGGCCATGGAGGGATTTTGGATTTTATTCTAAGTGTGGTGGAAGCCAACAGAAGATTTTTAGTAGACCAGTGACATGATTTGATTCAGAAAATTCTTAAGGACAAACTGAGGACTTTCGAAATGGGTGTTGTGTTATCTGGGATTTTGATAGTACAGGAAGATTGCATCTTTTTCATACAAGACATATCAAAAGGTGGGGGAGAGGAACGGGGCAGAAATTGGGGCAAGAGAAAGAAAATGTTCTCTCTCTTCAACAGCTTAGGAACTGGCCATATAAGAGGAATAGGCAGGTGAACTATGCTATAAACAGCTCACCTTTCAGGTCACCCTCTCTGACTCTGAGGGCACCCAATAATCAAGTGAGAAATGGCATAGAGTTAACATTAGACATTTTAAAATTTCTCTTCTGATTTTAATAAAGGTATCTGTTCATTGTTAGAAATTTGGAAAGTAGAGAAAAGCAAAGAGAAGAAAATGAAACCACTCATAATCACATCACCCAGAAAAAATCACCATCAAGATGTCATACACGTCCATTCAGTCTTTTCTTCAATATATCTTTATACAAAATGAGATAGGATAATATTTTTGAAAGTTGAGAGTTCTTTCCTTTACCTTTGAAATACAAAGAACCAATACAGTGTTCAATCTGTTAAGACTGTACTGAAGGTGAAAGAGCGATAGGGAATATTTGCCTGGTTATTCCAGGAATCAGAACCTTGGAATGACCCGCAAAGTGGACTGTGACAAAACACATGTACCTTATCTTTCCTGCCTGTACCTGAACAATTGAGACTCATTCCTGGGTGACAATTTCAGAGATGGGACCCTGGCCCTGTTCTCCAGAGCTCCTTCTCAGTTATGAGTCACGGTCAGCTCTGTTCTCTCAGGTTGGTTAGTTCTGAATGTGAGAAAAGCAGCTTAATTACAAGGGGGAAGGTTTATGACGGAGGCCAGCCCGATGCAGGTAATTACGGTGGAAGGAAGAGCTGGGGTTCAGTCTAACAGATAAAAATACTTGTTCCCTTTCAGTTCTCAAGGCCTCACTATCGTCATCCAAACCTGGCCTCATCTCACCCCAGCCTTCATTTCCTTGTAGACAGATCCAGAGAAAGTTAGATCATTTAATCCCCAAAGATGTAGTTCTCGCTCATCTTCCAGTTCTTAGTCAAGCCTGGCAAGTAGGGTGAGGAGATTGAGGTGTTCACTTTGAGCATATAATTTAAGGCGGTGCCAAAAGCTCCCTAATCAAGATAAATAATATTTTAACACAATATTTAAAAAAATAAAAATTAATGGAAAACAATCTACTGTTTAAAAAAATATCAAAATTTTACATGAAGGCAGGATCAGTATTACTGATTTTTTCCTTTTGCCTCTGGCTCCAACAGAGTCTTGGCAGGGCACTGTTGCAGATCTTATCTGAACCTCCCGAACTGGAATTTCTGGGAGGGAGGCCCAGGGATCTGTGTTTTATTCAGCTTTCCAGGTGATTCTTACACATGCTAATGTGAAAGAAGTACAGGAAAGAATGTCTCTGAAGTTACACCTTACTTTGATAACATTCCAATGGCACAGTCATTGGTTGTATGGGGGGATATTTGTCTAAATATTAAACAATCAAATAGTCATTTAATGCCATGGGCAAATAGACACACACAAAACCCCCACAAACTGATCAGTTGAGGGGAGGAGAACTTTTACTCTAAACCCATTTTATATTAAATTTTGCTTCAAAGCAACTCACATCATAACAAGACTCTGATGCAATAACTTGCCTTTATGTTGACTGACTGTTGATCAATCAATATTATTGAGTGCCCGATAGTCCATGAGGCACCAAGAGTCAAATAACACAGCTGTGAAGACATAGCAAGTCTGAGAGTTTAAACACAGGCTTCCTACCCGGTGAACAACCAATATGCCTGTTGATAGATTTTAACTCCAACCCAGACTCTCACTATCAGAGGCACATTTAGCGCTGTTATAGCCCTTGATCCACCAAGAATCATGAATTTTTTTCCTATAAATATTTGTTCATTGTCATGGATTCTGTGTTACACCACTCAATCTCCCTTCATAAACTGAAAGATTAATTCCCCCCAGCTCTTGGGAATTTGTTGTCTGACCTCACTCAGCTGTCAACTCCTGTGAGAATTGCCATGGCAGAAGAAAGCCACCATACCCATGGTCACACTCCCAGCCAGGAGTACCCGTATCCAATGACTGGCAAATGCAGAGATAAAAAGGCCTGGCTTCCTCGCCCTAATTCAGGACAACTCCAAGAGGGCATCCTAGGGTCAGCTGCTAGGAGTTCCCTCTGCCCAACCCCGCTTATTGCTCTTCCCCCAACTGTTGTTGATCTTGAGAGCACTTCCTAATAAATTTCCTACATGCAAATATGCATCTGGGTGTTTTCTTTCCAATGAACCCAACCTGCTCCACTTACAAAACTTCCTGATTCTGTGTTAATCAGAGGTTGGACACTTGACATATGAAGAAAGTGCCACAAGGAAACAAAAGTGATTCAGTGTGTGAGTTCGGCTAAACATTGACACTAAAATTATTGACACCCTTCATTGGGATATCAATAAAAACATCCCAATACTTTTTCAAGTCTCACTTTCAATGCTCCCATATCTCTATGTTTATTCCAGATGACTCTTTAAGTCTTTACAAAGGCCTTATGAGTTCAAGGTTCAAGAAACCAAAGAAGATTCTAAAATAAGTTTTATCTGAGTTGAGGATCTTCCAAACTCAACTTCATGGTGTTCAGATCTACCTTTGTGATCTTCTCCTCCCCTTATAATTTGATGATCAAAGTAGAAGTTAGGATGGTGACTAAGATAGAAGTACAAACCATCCACTTATTCTAACTTGAATTAAGTTCGAATTGAAATGTATTTGATTGAAACAGCCTTTTTTGGATTCTCTCTATAAAAAGTTGTTGTTGTTTTTACTTGGAGGGCTAAAAGAAGCCCAGAGGAGGTGACACAGAGAAACTAGGGTTTGAGTCAGAAGTAGGGTTTATCCAACCTAGCACAACATGGCATAGGTAGGTTAGAGAACCAGCGTCATTATCAGGAAGCACTAAGGCTACAGCCAGAATAGTGCCAGGCTGATGCAAGGGTGAGACGAGGAAGAAGACAGGAAAACAAGGAGCCAGGCTGATCTTTGAGAAAACAAGACATTGAACAGAATCAGGGATCTGCCACAATTTAAGGCATGTGGTTCAGAACTAAGCCTGTGAACAGTAAGCAGGTCCTAGAGCGTCCTCTCTCAGGTTGCCTGGTGCATCCAGCAGGCATCAGTGTGGCAACTTCATGTCTGCCCTGGACAACCCCTCGGTCTTCATCCCCTTTTCCCTGCACCCATCTCCTCAAAATCTCACCCATCAAAAATGACAGCAGGGCCTGGCAGGTGGAGAATGTGATGACAAAGAGAGGGTCACAAGTCCCGTTCAATGTCTAACCCTAACACACACACATTCATTGTTCACACATACTTCCTCATACCAGAAGAAGCAATGTTCTCCCACACACCACATTCTAGGGCATCCTCTGATCACATAACAACAGAACACTCCTGTCACAGGTAAGTGCAAAGTACCAGAGAACAGAGTTTGGGAAAAACCATTGTTCTCCCTCTGCTGACGGGGTGCAAGCATACCAACCAGCAGCTCTGCACAAAACTCCTGGTTTGGCCTAGGACGGGGCTGCCAGGTTGGGAAAAGGGGAAAGCTAAGGCCCCTTGGCTTTCCAAAAGAGCATAAATCCGGATCATCCTCTTTTGTAGCGTTCCCGGTGAGATCATGGATGGAGAGACAAGGGTGTGACTCAGCCGGAGTGTGAGGCTTATGGCCAAAGTTGGTGACTGACAATAGAGAATTATAGGCTACTTTGTGGTGGTTGTTGTCACTGTTGTTTTTAAGTTGTGTCAGGTTAGGAAAAACACTTCTAATCCTAATTTTGAGATAGCACAGATGAGTCCAAATATCTTAAGGTGTAACTGAATATTTTCAAAATAAAATTGCCCTGACTTTTCTTTGATTTAAAAATACCTCTATAGGCTACCTGAAAGTTTTAGAAAAGGGAGCCATTTTGGTCTGGGGAATAAACCCAAAAATGCCAGTACCTGCAGTTCCTTCCATACTTCTCTCCCTATAACTCTGGATTCCCAAAAGATTAGGAATCACTGGCCTACGTTTTCCAAAGTCTGGGTAGATCGCTTTCCCAAGTGACAGCCACAAAGCAAATGCGGTATCACACCCCATCTAAAGGAGAGATGGAGGAAAACTAAAAAAGAAATGTCTGCTCACGTGCCCTGTGACCTTGAGCAACAGCTTTCCCCCGTATGGGCCTCAGTGTTCTAACAAAAATCCAGGAGACGGCGACTTCTAACACTCAGCCCCAAAATTATCTGATCAAACGGGCCAAACTCCTCCCCAAGCTCCCTGGAGATTTTACTATTAGTCTGGCTCCGCCCAGCTCCTCCTTCTCTTTCAATCCCTTGATTAAATAGCTTCCCCTCTAATGGCTTTTGCACTGGAAGCAGCACCTCCGAACTCCTGCCTGAAACAGCTCTCCCAGCATGCGAGCCGCCCCCCTTCTCGGGGCCAGCGCAGCAAGGCTTCCCCTCAGCCTCTTCCTGCTGCTTTCCTTCAGGCTAGACAGAGGTGTGGGAGCTAAGGAGCTGAAGTTTGTCACATTGGTGAGTAGACTTTTCTCCTTGCTTTCCCCTTAAAACTGTGTTACTAGCAGGGTCTGAAGAACCAACATCAGGTTTCCTTTTACCCTTGCATTTTATCGTCTCCGGGAGACCAGACTCCGAAAGTGAATAATCAAGTTTCTCAAGTTCTTCATGAGGAAGCCTTAACGTGTCCTGACAAAAAGGTGTTTGGTTGGCTGTGTGCCTTTGCCCATGTTATTTGGTTATTCACTTACTTTGCAACTGCCTTGAATGCAGATTTCTTTTGACAGCCGCAGAGGCCAGGAGAAGCCTCGCTGGCGCTGGGTAGCACCGGGAACTAAACTGGTTCCCTCAGTTTAATGATTATTTCTTTGCAAACCAAAAGACAGTCATTTGCTGAACTAGATAGCTCCTTCCCCTCTTGTTTATCAGGAAATTGGAAAATGTATTTGTAAACAGTCTTTAAAGCATAAAAGTGAAACTAAACTCAAGAGTTTTAGGATGACTTCCTGAGACATAGATTTAGCTGACCATTAAAATCGTGTTGTCACCCCACCCCATGTTATGTGTGACAAGTTATGAAAAAAAGGGGGGGGGGGTAGCTAGCGCGTAATGCCAGGGAAAGAAAATATACTGTTGGCATTGTTTTAAAAATTAAAAGAGAGTTTGCAAAGTAAAGGGGATTTACCACTTTACATTCAAGCTCTGGAATTAATCCATCTACGTCTCCTGGTTTCTGTCTTTGATTGTGTCTCTCTGTTTCTCTTCTTTCTGTTTCACTCACTGTCTCTCTCTGCCTCTGACCCTCTCTGTCTTTCACGGGCTGTCTCCATCTCTTTCTCTTCCCCACATTTTTTATTTGATAGAGTGAAAGTATGCTGGTAAATAAGTAAATTTCCTTTCTGTAAGCAGACTCAATTTATTTTTATAATTTGAAGGGAGTTCACCTTTTATTTAATTAAACATGAAGTTCTTATGTTCTCAGCTTGGTGCATTCAGAACTCCTTTCTTTCCCTTCTACAGGAAAATTTCATAACCATATGTTTATGCAAATTATGATTCTTAGTCCAGTAGATCTTTACTAGGTCATGAGTCAACAGGGAGAGCGAAATATATCATTAATTTATTTACAAATGATTTATCAGCTGCCAGGCTTCTGTGCTGAAAAAATTTTACAATTTTACAATATTGTGTACCTTCTATAGAGAAATCCATGTGAGTTAGAGTTTTGGTTATATTCATGGGTTCCTTGCCAACATGTGAATTAAGCAAGTGTAGGAGAAATTTCACTGCCAACACGGTAAACCTGTGACAAGCCGACTGAGTGGTAATCTTCTCTGAGATATTACAGTGAACTCTCAGTTAACTGAATGGATCGGTTCTCTCCTCTGTATTTCACTATACCCCAGGCTAACTCCCCTTGCTTACCAAACTGTTGTGGGTTTCCTTTCTCTCACTCCCCTCTTGGTTAACATGTATCCAGGGACTACAAGTTAATTCTTCCCTAAGAAAAACCTTACAAAAGTGGCTCTCTTGGAGCTAAAAAAAAATTAACAATCGTCACACAAGGCTAATGTTAATAAGTTTTCCTACCACGGCTTCCTTCTATTAATGGTGGATGAAAGGCAACTTAATATATCTTTTTTGGCCCTCACAAAACAATTTCTATGCAAGGACTTAAGGCAGAAGATATCACTTTCTTCTTATTATTGATTATAGAAAATATTTGACTATAAATGGTTCAAATATATAACCATGGAAATCCTTAGAAAATTATTAAGAGAACCAGAATTAAAGAAAGGGGCCTCTGATTAAAGTGGTAATATTCATGACAATAGCCTATAGTTAATTGAGTGCTTACGAGGTGCCAGGCACTGTTCTGAGAGTTCACTATAGATAATGTCACATAATCCTCCCAACAACCCTATAAAGTAGAGTTGCCAAAAACACACAGGATGCCCAGTTAAATTTGAATTTCAGATAAACAGCAAATATTTTTTCAGTATAATATGTTCCATCAACATTTGGGTATTCTGTATTTTTGTTTGCTAAATCTAGCAACCATTCTATTCTATAGATGAAGAAATTGAGGCACAAAAAGGTTAGGCAACTTGCCCATGGTCACACACTTGGGATGTGAAGCCATCCCAGGCTGTCCGATCCCAGGAGCCATGTCCCTAATCATGAGACATATTCTGTTCCTGCTGTGTGTGTCTAACCCAGCGCAGTGAGCTGAGATCTCCCCATGGAGGTTTGGGGCGTTGGCTTGACTCATATTCAGTAGCTGGTTTCCTTGCGTTTCCTTTGTGTTCCAAGAAAAATAAATCTTCCCCAATCCTGAAAAGCTGTTCTGGGCAGAAAGAGTAGGGAACCTAGCCTTCATTCTTGTTCTCTTTCATGAACAAAGTCACCCCATGATCTTTTAAAACAGGTTCACCAAAGTACATCCCATGGAAGGCTAGTTTGCCAAGTTGTTTACAGGCACTACCCAGTTAAAAATGGGTTTCAGTAATCAAATTAGCCTTAGGAACAGAACGTGCGTTAAACTGTGTTTAAAAGTCTCTTAAACTCAGGACTCCTCAGAGTCTTTAGTATTCTAATATGTACTGTGGCTTTCAAGGAAAGGATCTAGTAAATTGTATTTCCTAAATTTTGACTGCAGAATCCACCTCTTCTTTTTTTCAGAGTGTCCCATAGAAATCCCTCAGAGAATTGCTATTTTTAAATTTATAGAGAGAGAATAAGTATGATGAGTCGCAATGTACCCATCAAGCAGCTTCAGTAATTATCACTCACAGCCAATCTTCTTTCATCTATATGCCCACACACTCCTACTGGACTTTTTCAAAGCAATTTCATACATCGTTATTCCATCCGTAAATAGGGAAATGCCATTTTAAAAGCATTCTCTCTCCCCTAAGCCAGGGAAAAACCACAAATTCAGGTGATCCCAGACAGAGAGAAAAAATTCTTCTCATTCCACTTGGGTTTTACAAAAAAAGAGAGGATAAGTCACAAAGTATAAGCTCTTCTCATTCTTCATGGTGAACCATGCAAAATTCTTACTCAAGGCATAGAATGTCCTTGATGAAAATAGCCTCCAAACCTTAAGCTCATCAGCTCTGCCCTGGGTTGGGTAACTTCCGTATTGTAAGTAGGCAAATTCAAATGATGCTAGCCATCACACATTTCCAGGGAGAGCTGACCTCCAGGGTTCCTCTGCACTCTTCCTGGAAAAGTGAAAAGTTGACAAGTCACTCTTCAGGCTGGTAATCCAATACTGTTACAAATTTTCTAATGCTATGTGCTAAAATAAAAGTTGAAAGCTATACCTAGGAAAACACTGAACTTTCATTAATTCAAGTTCCAGCATCATTTACCAGGTTTGGGACCACAGGCAGGTAGGTCACTTAATCCAGCTGAGTCACATGTGCCCCAAACTTAAAGTTGGGGATAATGATCCTCACTATGCTTCCTACTTCACAGATTTGTCTCTAGGTCCAAACGGCAGGATGTACATGTGAACGTGTGAACCATGGTACAAATGTAAGGTGCTGCTGGAAGTCATCAGTCTAAAACAGAAGGTTTCCAACTTTTTGGATAAAATCTAGGTGATCCTTAATTATTCTTTTTTTAAAGTTGTGGTAAAATACACTGAACATAAAATTTTCCATCCTATCCATTTTTAAGCGTACAGTTCAGTGGCATTAGATATATTCACATGGTGGCACTACCATCAAAACCATCCATCTCCAGAACTCTTTTCATCTTGCAAAACTGAAGCCCCATATCCGTTAAACAGGGAGTCCCCATTCTCCCCTCCCCTGGCGCCTGGCAGCCACCATTCTACTTCCTAACTCTGTGAATGTGACTACTCTGTGTACCTCATATAAGTGGAAATACACACTATTTGTCCTTTTGTGACTGGCTTAGTTGACTTAGTATAATGTCCTCAAGGTTCTAGATGATCCTTCATTATTCTTGAGCTTATAAATTTAATAGGGGCACGTGGTTAACTTAAAGGGAGCAAAGAAAAGAGAACGTAAGGTATTAGATGATTATCATCTCTACTGGAACTTGAGGCTAACTACTTAACTTATTTATACTGTGAATTCTAACTTCTTTTCTCTCGGGGGCAACTCACTTCTGTGTGTCAAGTGTAGCCTGGGAGAAGCTGGAAGTAAAAACAGAGGGACACCACCACAATTAAGGAAAAGCATAAAAAAGCATAAAAACATCTGAGTTGGGTCAGAAAGCAGTAGAGTTGAAAAAGAAAGGATGAATTTCTTTAGAAAATTGTGAAGGCAGAATCCCTGTGGGTTGAATATGAGTATTAAGGAAGAGAGAGAAATCAAAATGACCCTGAGTTGTCTAATTTTTGTTGTTAGAAAGATAGTGATGCCACGGAGATAGGGTGCATAAAAGGCATTGAATGTTGGAAATTCTTAAAGAGGAATATGAGATCTAAACACCAATTGTGTACTACACGATACACTATAGCATGGCGATTAAGAGTGCAGGTTCAACAATCAGACCACCTGGGTTTGAATGCCAGCTCAACCTCTTACTAGCTGTGTGACTTTGGATGAGTAACTTAACCTATCTGTTCCTCAATTTCATCATCAGTAAAATGGGGATACTAGTACTTCATGGAGTTGTTGTGAGGCTTAGTTGTGTTAATACATAAAAAGCACTTATAAGCCTATCTGGTAAACACCCAAAACATTGTAACTATTATTAATATACATATACTCACACAATTATCCCATGTGTGTGTTTTTTTTTTTTAAAGATTTTTTTTATTTTTTCCTTTTTCTCCCCAAAGCCCCCCAGTACATAGTTGTATATTCTTCGTTGTGGGTCCTTCTAGTTGTGGCACGTGGGACGCTGCCTCAGCGTGGTCTGATGAGCAGTGCCATGTCTGCGCCCAGGATTGGAACCGACGAAACACTGGGCTGCCTGCAGCGGAGCGCGCGAACTTAACCACTCGGCCACGGGGCCAGCCCCATCCCATGTGTGTTTTTTATGGTGTTCGCATAACCAGTTAATGATAATGCTAGGCTTCTTTTCTATATTTATTGTCTTTATTCTCAAAAAGATGAAGTATTTTTACATGTCTTTTTTCTTCTAAGTTTAATGACTTTCTTCCCAGTTTTAGACTCTTGGCCTAAATATGCATTTAAAATGTGAGTCAAGAGATTGACAGATTTTACTCATTTCACCCATTCTCTGACTTTCTGATCCATTGACTTGCTGGTTCTTTCCTCCATCCCTTCGGCCGGAATAGACGACCGATTGTCCTTCTACTTGCCTTCATCTTCATTGTCCACGTTTGAATAATACCTTGGAACACAGGCAGGAATCCTTGAGGCCTGTAAACCTTTTTCTCACTCCCATTGAAGTCAGAATTACAATCACAGCTACCATATGGTAAACATCCACTAGATGCCAGGCTCTTTACATTTTGTATTTTGAATCTCCAAAATGGCCCAGGAAGGCATATAATGTTATCTTGGTTTTACATAAGAACAATAAAAAAGGAGCCAGAACTTCTCTGGGGTATACTGGGTGCTGGGGACTCAAGACGCAAGTGTCTGGTGGCACATCTAGAATTTGTGAGTTGGCTTATAAAAGATATACCAGACAAAACTCTCTCCTGGAAAACAGAAACCAGGACTCCTGCCTCCACTCACAAACGGCCCTCCCGTCTCTCCTGCGCTCTGTGGCTCCCTAGTCACCGGGGCTGAGGGGCGGCGGAGCTGACTGGAGACCTGTCTGCTCTGCGAGGGTGTTTGCTGGGCGCGCTGTGTGCCGCGTGCTGCTCCCGGGCCAGGTGGGAGGTCAGTACAGGAGCTTCTTCCTGGTTTTATGGCGGAATGCATTTTGCAAATTTTTAAGGTGATAAACTAATTCCAGAAATTCTATTTGGCTCAAGATATTTTGGTTGGGCAGGTTGCCACTACGGGCGCTTGAAGCTTCCCAAGTGTCCAAGTGTCCTAAATCCAAAGGAATAATTAATTATTCCTCTCAGTCACAGGGGAGAGATGATTAGAAATTAATAGAAATATTCCTTGGAGGCGAGGGCTATGTTGCCCTTTGCTCAACAGGTAGCTCTCATTTGCCCCATATGCTGCAAACTATCGCCAGCAGGAGAGGGAGTGTAGAGTGTAGCTAAGTCAAACGCCTGAATAATATAACAACAACAGCAAAATAATGATAACAGATATAATAACACATTTGAGTGCATCCTGTATTCAGTACTATGATGCTGGCTTTGCATATATTACACGGTTAATTCTCATGATCCTCCTGCGTAGGAAATAATGATTTTCTCATTTTACACAGAGGGAACTCTGGCATGCAGAAGTTTAAGTTAAATCATTTTCCCAGGGTCACCCAGTGGGGTGTTGACAAAGCAGGGACTTGAACCCAGGTCTGACTCAAAGCCAGAGCTTTTCTGAGGTATCATACAGCTTGCACACGCTGTAACACAGTTTCACTGTGTCCCTCTCCTGCAGGCTTCTGTGTTCCTCCTGGGCCCTGGACGTAAGAGTCGTTAGACGGGCATGCCTTTCTGCCTCCCTCGTGGCAGGTGCAGGACCTACTCCCACCCTGATTCCTCTCACAGCCAGTCGGCTTCCCTTCTTACCTCTGAAATGGTGTTCGTTTACTTGAGCCTGTGCGCCAGGAGAAGCAGAAGGAAGACATTCCAGGCAGATAGAACACCAAGGCCCAGAGAGGTGGGAACACGCTTAATGTATTGGCTGGAACAGCAGGGGCCCCTGTGGCGAGGCATGTTTGGCAAGAATGTAAGGTGAGAACACTGCAGTGGGCAGGGCCAGGTCAGGTAGAGTCTTGTGAGCCATTGTAAGGACTTTGAATACTCTGCAAACAACAACGGGAAATGATATAATGTCTGCGAGTGAGAGGGTACGAGAGAAACAAGACTGACCACACACCAGCTGACGATTGTTGCAGCGTGTGATGGGCTCATGGAGGCTCATTATAAAAATCTCTACTTTGGTATATCTTTACAATTTTGCACACACAAAAAAATTTTAATAGAGTGAGAGGACATTAGAGGGTTCTAAGCAATCAGGTGACATATTCCAATTGACATTTTTTTAAAAGCACTTTGTTGCGTGGAGAGAGGGACTGGACATGGCATCCTCCAGTGTACTCCTCAGGGACTCCATGTCCTACGCAATGCGCCAGATCTGGTTAGCAGACTGGATGGAGCAGGATCACTCAACATTGTCCTTCAGCAGAAAGTTACCTGTGATTTAAAGGGGCAAGGTGAATGTGATATGGTGGGGAAAACAGTGGACCGGCAGTCATGAGAATTAGGAGATCTCAACAGCTTACTCGATCTCTTTGAGCCTCAGTTTCCTTATTTGTTCAGTGCAGCAATAGTGCTGACCTGTTCTCACAGAGGAGTTGTAAGAATTAAAAGCAACAGCAGGGGAAGGGATTCTCCAAAACCGTGGAGGTTTGCAAAAACATAAGGGGTTATTACCTTGGATGTTGTCCTATGGCAATTACCATTAGTACTGCAAAGTCCTACCGCTAATAATATATTTTTAGATTTCCAAAGGATTTCATAGAGTATGATTGCTGGACTGCGAACAGAGGTTATTAATTTGGCCGAGCAGCAGTTAAGAAGGTTGCCCTACCACAGACTTAAAAGAACGTCTAGGCACAGTCCAAAGGATCCAGCTGAACTGGCGAAACTCCGGAAGTTCAAGAATGCCACCTGTGCACTTGAGGGCACTCTCTCTGTTTCCCTTTCTCTCTCTCGCGCTCTGATTTCCGGCTCTGGAGGTGGGGGATGGTTTATTAAGTGTTTCTGAGGGACGCCCCTTCCTAAGAGTTCAAGCATTTTTGAGCCACTACCTCAGAAAGCCTTAAAACTTTCTGCAATGTAGGGGAGTACAATTATTTCTGACCTATAAGGATGGAGTAAGAAAGCTTGCCCAAGTCTCATGATTATGTTCTTTAAGACGCACTCCTCTAAGCACACCACACCTGTTTTTCTCCCCAAGCCATACTGTCATTTACTTGCATAACCTCAGTTTTATTTTTTAAATAATATCTGGGGCTTTTTCTTACGTCAAAGTTTTGATTTCCTCTGAGGCAACATACCCACCCACACACGCACAGCTTCCAACCTTAGAGAGAAAGAGTAGAGTTTATAGAGAAGCCCCAGTTCCCAGATCATCCACTGGTGGGACACTGAGGGGTATGTTTGAGCATAGAGAAATGAGCCTCTTGCACGGGGTTACGAATGCTGGTAGTGGAGACACACAGCCTGTGCTTGGATATCTGCTCTACCACTTACATGCTGTGTGACCTTGGGCAGGTCACTTAAGGTCAAGTTCCCCGTTTGTGAAATGAAAATAATAATAGTAACTAATAGTAACTGCTTTGTAGAATTGATGAGATGATTAAATGTATGAGAAGCTCTTAGCACAGTTTCTAGAACAAAGCAAGTGTTCAAAACATGTTGAGGCGTTATTGTGGTTATAGGCTGGTAGGAAGTGTTGTAAATTATTTACCACAATGTCTCTCATCTGACTTCTCTTTGGCTAGTTCGGTAGCTCTCAACTGAGGTGATTTTTACCCCTGGGGGACATTTGGTAGTGTCTGGAGACCTTTTTGGTGTCACAACTGGGGAATTCTACTGGCATCCAGTGGGCAAAGGCCAGGGATGCTGCTAAACATCCTACAATGCACAGGAAAGCCCCCAACAAGGAGTTTTCTAGACCAAAATGTCAACAGTGCTGAGGCTGAGAGATCCTGGAAACGAAACAATGTGGGGTTTATAATCTATTGAAACCGTATAACGACTTTAGTTACTCAGATCTGGGAAAGTATTTTGCATAATTACCTTGCATCTAAAAAGTCTAAAATGTGTTTCAATTGTGGAAAGAGAAGCACTAACAATTAGCCTTGATAAATTCTGACTGTGACCAAGTCAGCCCTAGTGACTGGTAACTGTGGATGCTCCTCAGAAGATATGCAGCCTGTCCTCCTGCCGTGAGGGGACCATTTATGACAATTCCTTACCTGACCAAAATGATTTCTTAAGCTCCGCTATATTACTGTCCCTGTGTGCTGCAGTCTGTTCTGAGACCGCAATTTCTCACCAGTTTAGGGGGCCAAAAGCTCAGTTTTCTTCAGACACCAGAGACACTATCCGGTCTTAGAAGCCTCCCTCACTTTCCTGGAATCTCATCTGGAAGATGACTAAAGTTTGAGACTGTTGCTTATTCTGTGGCTACTGAACTGTTTTATAGGCTTTCAAAAGAGCAGACATTTGGCTTTCTTTTCAATGGAGCATCTTAGCCACGTAGTATAAGTGACAAGTGCAGGAAATCTCAGATAATGCAAGGTGTTATGCAGACGCCTTCTGTATTACAAATGTTCGCTAACATCAGCATCGACTTCATCTTGTATTTCTTCAGTGTTTTTCTTGCCCAATTTTTGCTTATAAAATAGCTTTGTGTTTGGTTTGGTATTCTATCCAGAAAGCATATTAGAATCAAAGTACCAAGGTTTCAAAAGTCCAGACTACTCTCCCCAAAGAATTAAATGTGCAATCAAAATAAGATGAATGCATACAAATCCAGAAGGATGTTCTTAAAGTATTGAGAATTAGCTTTTCTCCCTACCCACAAGTCCTTTCTCCCTAACGTCCTAAAAACTAATCATTGGCTCAAGATGGTCACAAATTGTCTATTGCATTTAAAAGCCACTATTTTTATTATATGTAAAAATGTTAACACCATTATTCCTGTAACCATAATTCAGGAAGGAAACATCTCATCAGTTTGTCTGCAACAAGGTGACCTTGCTAAGCTTTGTGTTCCTTCTCACCCTATCCGATGTACAAACCATCTCCATGTGTGGATCACCTGACTTCTCCTCGCTGATCATCTTGTTACTTACATTACCAGAAATACAGAAAAAGTGTTAGTCAGCTTAGAACAGCAGTTCTTAACCTGAGATTTACCTGGGGAGGTCTCTAAACTGATGCACTGGCCACATCCCAAACTAATGAAACAAAAGTCACTAAAGGTGGGATCCAGGCCTCAGAATTTTAACTCCCTAGGTGATTCCAGTGAGCAGGCAAGGCTGAGAATGAGTGGTTTGGAAGAAAATCTATCATGATGAGCGGAGGCAAAACACCTCAGTGAAATTTGTAACGTGACTGCCTCAATCTCTTTTCAGGTGTTTAGACATGGAGACCGAAGTCCCATCGAAACCTTCCCTAACGACCCCATTAAGGAATCCTCATGGCCACAAGGATTTGGCCAACTCACTCAGGTTGGTTGATTTTCAGCTAAAGTTTGCTGATGAGTCTCAAGGGAAACTAGACTGTGGGATTTGTAGTCTATTGAAACCTCATAACTATGTTAATTACTCAGACGTGGGAAAGTATTTTGCGCAATTACCTGGGAACTAAAAAATCTAAAATGTGTTTCAATTGTGGAGTGAGGGGCGCTAATGGTCAGCTTCAATAATTTGTAATCATGACCAAGACACCCCTACTGACTAGTAACTGTAGAAAAATTGTATAGAATTGCCTGTTTTGATCTTTTTTTTACCTTGTTGTCTTTATTACATCATAAGAGGTATGCATGGACAACAGGATAGATGAGCTTAAAGATGAAGAGAGCCAAGAGATACTTACAAGCCAGCCCCTGAGTTTCTCAGGCTCCACCTGAGAAAGTAGAAAATAATCTTGTAATCAACGATCTGAATCAGCAGGTTTGGGAAAACATGATTCCTCTGCAAGGGCTGATACCGAATTTGATTTCTTATCTCCTGGATGTATTGGGACTGAGTCTTCCTCATAAGTGGTCAGTTAAAATAGAGAGCCCTACTTCCTAAAGAGCACCAAAGGGGAAGGTGAACTGGGGAACAAAGGCGCCCCACCCCTTTCACTTGTAAGAGTGGATCGCTCTTCGAAGCCACAAGGCCATGTGCATTGCTTTTGTCCTCACCAAAGCACTCTTTCAATATGTTAAGAAAATGTTATAGAATGTTTAGAGTTGGATAGCTCCAAAACTAATGGGTCTTAATCTCAGCTAAACATTGGAATTATCTGGAGGGCTTTAAAAAATATTGATGTCTGCTTGAAAGGTTCTTATTTAATTGGTCTAGGATGTGGCCTGGACATGGATTTTTAGAAGCTCCTCGGTTGATCAGTTGGCTCTTTTGTGTAGTCAAGGCTGAGAATTACTGCCCAATTACAGCCCTAACTCAACGTCAATGCTTCCTAGAGGAGAAAGCTCAGAGAGGCTATTGGAGGCCAGCATCTTTTGGCTCCCAGGTCAGAGCTCTTCCCAGTACAGCCTACACAGCTTCTGGCTCCTTGAATGAGAGAAGGGTTACAAAAACTCAGGGCTGCATCTCAATACCTATGGCTCTGTAGAGACCCCTGTTCCCTTGCTCTGCTTTTCCAGTAAGACTAAGATTCTTCCAGACTGTGGGATCTGGATTCTTCTTCTGGGAGTCTCCTGACTCGCCGTCAGCTTCTCCTAGAGCAGTGTTTCTCAAGCTTCCAAGTGCAAATGAATTCACTTAGGAATCTTGTTAAAATGCAGATCCTAATACCCAAAGACAACAAAAACACTAACTTGAAAAGATATTGGCACCCCCATGTTCATAGCGGCATTATTTATAATAGTCAAGACATGGAAACAATAGAAGTGTCCATCGATGATGAATGGATAAAGAAGTTGTGGTACATATATACAATGGAATATTATTTAGCCAAAAAAAATGAGGAAATCCTGCCGTTTTCGACAACATGGATGGACCTTGAGGGCATTATGCTAAGTGACACGTCAGACAGAGAAAGACAAATGCTGTATGATCTCACTTACATGTGAAATCTGAAAAAAAAACTCAAAAAGGGATAAGATTTGTGATTACCAGAGGTAATGGATGGGGGGACGGGGAATAGGAGAAAGGTAGTCAAAAGGTACAAACATCCACTTAGAAGATAAATGAGTGCTAGGGATGTAATGTACAGCATGACTACAGTTAACACTGCTGTATGATATATACGAAAGCTGTTAAGAGAGTAATCTAAGAGTCCTCATCACAAGGAAAAACAACTTGTTTCCTTTTTTGCTTTCTCTCTTTCTTGTATCTATATGAGATGATGCATATTCTAGGGGTAATCTTTTCACAGTATATGTAAATCAAACCATTATGCTGTACTCCTTAAACTTATACAGTGATGAATGCCAGTTATATCTCAATAAAACTAGGAAACAAAGAAAAAAACGCAGATTCTAATTCAGGTCCAACATGAAGCCTGAGATTCTGCATTTCTAAAATACTCCCAGGTGATGCTGATGGCCACTCGTGAACAGCAAGGTTTTAGGGCTCAAATTTCTGCCCTCGGCCGGGTACTGCCAGTCTACGTAATGACAAGGTGATGGCTTTCAGTGGTTATCAAAGTGTGGTCCCTGAATGAGCAACATCACCATCACCTGGGAACTTGTCTGAAATGTAAATTCTCTGGCCCCACCCACTGAACCAGAAAATCTGGGGTTGAAGCCTGCAAATCTTTGTTTTAATGAGTCCTCCAGGTGATTCTGTGCATGCTAAAGTTTGGAAACCAGTGCTCTGTAGAAGGTGACTATTTCCCCAAAAGTCAGCTATAGGTTAGAACAACAAATTAGACCCAAAGTGTCTGCTTCTTCAGCTACCCAGGTCATCCAGGAAACTTACAAACCTCAAAGCACATATTCTTTTCTTACCTCCTTCCCCATCCTGGGGGGTGGTGACGATTATGGTAGCCAGGAGTGACAAGCAAATGAGCGAGTGGGACCAAGCAGAAGCCACAGTGACCACATCCTCCCTGACTCCTGAAGCTCTGGCGAGGATCTGGATTAAAAACAGACTTGAATGCAGTGTTTCAAGCATTCAAGTGCTTGAATGGTTCTCAGTTACGTGGATCTGATTCCCTTGAGGCACTTGTTAAAATGCAGATTCCAGCGAGACACCCCGTATCTAAGAAGGAAGAATCTCTGGGGGAAATCTGGGTAATCTGCATTTCAAAAAGCACCGGTAAGATAATTTGGCTTCTGATGCTTAGTAACGCTCAAGGATTATTGAGCTAAAGCAACGCTTCTCAATGATTACTGGTCATCAGAATCTTAGTGAGCTTGTTACAAACAGATTCCTGAGCTCCACCCCCAGATTCTGATTCCGTAGATCAAGGGTGGAGCCCAAGAATTTGGTTTCTAACATCCTCCCAAGAGGTGCTAATACTGCTGATCCACAGACCACACTTTAAGTAACAGGCTCTAGTTTTTCATGAACCAGGCACAGGTAAACTGGGCAGATAATAAGTCATTGCACCCAGAGGTTGAAAGTGATCTTCGGATTCATCAAGTCCAACTTCTTATCAGGTGGTTGAATTTCTTCCACCAAACTGCCACCAACCGCTCAACCAGCCCCTTGAATGCTCGACCAACAAAGATGAACCATTGAACGCTCTACCACACTAAATATGAAGCCTTTACTTAAATCAGATCAATCACCAACTGCTAACTGCAAGGCTCTATGTTAAGTACTAGCGAAGATGAATGAGTTTTCTCAGGGAGTCAGGACTAAAGCTGTTTCCGTTTTAAAATGTATTGTCAGTGTGGAACTTAATGTACACCATTGTTCACTCTACCCATTCAATGAGGAGAGATGAGACTCGTAGATGAGATTCCTAGAACTTACTTTCACTAATTTTTGCTTTTGTTTGTTCCCATAGCTGGGCATGGAGCAGCATTATGAACTTGGAGAGTATATAAGGAAAAGATATGGAAAATTCTTGAATGAGACCTATAAACGTGAACAGGCAAGTTGGGGAGCTAAGAGCGGGAACCTTGTCCCTTGCAAGAATTTAACATAATATTCCACTTTTAAAAGTCCTTTGTGGGACCAGCCCGGTGGCCGAGTGGTTAAGTTCCTGCACTCCGCTTCGGTGGCGCAGGGTTTCACTGGTTCGGATCCTGGGCGCGAACATGGCACCGCTCATCAGGCCACGCTGAGGCAGCATCCCATGTGCCACAACTTAAAAAATATATACAACTATGTACTGGGGGAACTTGGGGAGCAGAAAAAAAAGATTGGCAATAGCTGTTAGCTCAGGTGTCAATCTTCAAAAAAAAAAGTATTAAAAGTGCTTTGCCTGTTTCCCAAGGAACTTATATAAGTCAGAGATTTTGTTTACAATTGTACTCCTCTTTATACAAAAATTTTGTTCCTATAAAATTTATGAATATGAGTAAATTCAAAATTTTGTGGACACCTATGGCAAATACTTTGGTTTGGCAAGTAGCCACCACTGAATTGGTCTCTTGTCAATTCAACTATTGCAAGCAGGTTTCTACATATCATGGCGTGCTAATAATACTGTCTATCCCATAATAGAAATTATGATCAAAATGTCTGCTAATATTTTGTGGGTGCCCCTGCCCTTTCTCAAGTATACTACTAGCTCCACAGGAAAAACCCCACAGTTCCTCTCAGTTGGATTCTGCTTTGGTTTTCCCCTCTAGGTTTATATTCGAAGCACAGACGTTGACCGAACTCTGATGAGTTCTATGACAAACCTTGCAGCCCTGTTTCCCCCAGAGGGTGTGAGCATCTGGAATCCCGGCCTACCCTGGCAGCCCATCCCAGTGCACACGGTCCCGCTTTCTGAAGATCGGGTCAGTATTCTGGGAAAACCAGGAGATGCCATTGGGCCTGGAACAAGAAAGGCAGGCTGCTCAGTACTGGACACTCCATGGGCTGTGCAGTCTTAACTCTTTCCTAAATAAAAGTGCAGAGGACAATGCAGGTCTTAGAAGCCCCTAGGCAAGAGACAGTAGGAACAGAAATTTCTCTTTGGATCTTTATTAGCCCCTTTGTTTTGCCACTCTTTCAACTTTTGGCAATTTGTCCCTCTCCATCTTTACACACACACAAGGCTCCCAGTGTTCTGCCTTCAATTCCCAGGCTTTTGGTACCCTACACGGGGTTCTCCTCGTCCGTCCAAAATATCCTAAGATCTCACTACCTACAAAATACACATCTCCCAATGAAAAATCCCCATTCCGAGGTAGAGGAAAGAAAAAGATTTGAGTGGCTAATTGGGGCCCAATACTTTATATGTGTCATCATATTTACGTTTCGTAGAAACCTTGAATGGACGATATTAGTGTTCTCCTTTTGTAGCCATGGAAATAAGTGCTCAGAGAAGTTAAATAAACAAAATGAGCCCAGAGCCACACAGCTGGGTCACATCACTATGGGACCAGAACCAGGCCTAGCTCATAGCAGAGCAATTTCCTACCCTGCTAAGTCGTGGGTCTCAAACTTGGCTGCATGTTAGACTCACCTGAGTATTTTATAAAACTCCTGATGCCCAAAACATGACATGACAAACCAGAATCTCTGAAGGCAGGACCCAGGCATCAGTTTTTTAAAAATAATCTTCCTAGATGATTCCAGTGGACAGTCGAGTCTAAGAACCAGTACTATAAACCAAGCTGCCTGAATGAGGCTGTTTGAGAGAAACTCTCAAATTTATTTACACTGGGTGGGACTGGCCATCAACTTTGTAACTTTTCAGAGGAATTGCTATTTTTTACACAGTAATAAATAAATCTAATCTCCGAGGTGTGGAATTTAAGACTATATGAAAGAAATAGTTTGGAATGAGAAATCTTTCCTAATTCCCCCACAGTCAGCTTAAAAGCATGACCATCTCACCTGTTTCAGGCTTAGCATGACTGCTGGACTCAGTCTGTTGGCCGGTGGCCTCTGGGGTGGGTTACTATCCTCTTTGCCTTTCCAGTAAACCCAGAAATTTGGCTTCATTACTGTGTCTGGCGACTTAAGAAATTTTCCCAAATGCTTTGTAGAAACAGCCCAACTCTGTCAACCTCACTCTGGGTAAACCTACTCCCACTAATTTTTCTGGTGTTTCTTGAAAAGAAAGGATGATTTATTGGTGCCTCTTTCCTTCACAGAATCAAGAGTGAACTATTATCATCATCAGTATTCTTAGGAGTTTACGAATATTTTCTTCCAAAAAGAAAAAAATCACTTTTACCACAGCTTTTTCTGCATAAAGATTGGACGGCAGCACTAAATTTAGCCAACGTAGACCAAGGAAGCTGTTTAACCTTAATTCTGAAAGATAGTAATTAAATTACATAGTAGAGAGAATACAGCCGCTGTTAGAAGAGGACGAGAGAAACAGAGGAAGGGAGAGGGAGAGTGAAGCCAGCAAGATTGTCTACCTATGGCTTCTAGCTACCTACTCACTAAGATGCACATAATTCTAACATCAACTAAGAAATCTGACAAAATCAATCAATCAGCACAAAGTTATTCCCAGAGCTGTGCTGAGCGCTGTAGAGAATTATGAGGACAGGTTTCTTCCCTAATTTATAATCCATTGGATGAAAAAAGATTCACGTGTGTAAAATGTGTAGCACAAAATGCAAGATGGTGGGAGATGATTTCAAGCACAAGCGGTACATGCTGGAGGAATTCAGAGAATGAGACAAATGTGGAGCTACTGAAGGGCAGTCATTCAAGTCTTCATAGGGAGAGTGAGAACTCGGAGGAAGGGTAGGAAAGGAGAGAAAGGCAACCCGAAAATGTGGAGTGAGTGAATACGCAGAGGGCTTGCCCTTATTCGTTCAGGGTTCACATTTAGAAAGAATGGACGTAAGACTGAATAACTATGTTGGGCACAGATTAGAGAATCCAAATTTAATAGCCAGAAGGAATCTTGAGACTGAAAGGCAGTGTGATGTAGAAGGAGGGCTGGATATGAAGCTGGGAAAACCTAAGTCTGACAGCCGACTTCCACTTCAGATACTTGACCTTGAGCAACCTCCTTGCACCTCAGTTTCCTTTTCTGTAAAATGAGAACTCAAAAAATGAGTACCCTCCTAACTTCTTCATAGGAATTTGTGAAAACCAAGTTATTTAAGAAATGGAAAAGACTTTGTAAACTTCAAAATGCTGGACAGATGTTTAGGTGATTATTCTATTTATTTGCAGCCTGACTTTCAATACGCGGGATGAGAAAACTAAAGTCTAGAAAGGTTAAGTCATTCGTTAAAACCTAGACTTTTCAATGAATGGTCCTGAGCTTTTTCCCTCAACAATGTCATTTCACCTGTGGAAAAACTTGAAAGCCATGCAAGGAAGTTTAGATGTAAAGCAGTGGACATAAAAGAACCCTGCATACATTCTTCAGTACCACACACGCGCGAGGAGTGGTGTTTTGAGGCATTCGTCTGACAATGGCTTAGGAGGAAAAGATACTGGAGCCTCTGAGAATAACTGTTGAAGCAATTTAGAAATGAGGACACGAAGGCCTGAAATTAGATGGTAAAGTCAATAGAGGAAGGGAAGCGAGGTAAGACCAGGTGACCCATAGAATCGGAAATGACAGACAGGAAGTAACTTATAAAAAAAATGTTTTCTGAGTTGCTAATAATACATCCTGTTCTAGGCCCTGGCAACACAGCAATGAACGAGATAAACAAGATCCTAGCTGTCCTCAAGTTTATATTTTATAGGAAATAGATGATAAAGAAGTAAATCAATAAAATGATCTCAGATGGCAATCAATAAATATTGAAGGAAATAAAACAAGGAATGTGGTAGTGGCTGGGCAGGATGGCCAGAAGAGCCAGAGTGGGAGTCATTGAGGGGAATGTCTCAGGCAGGAAACAGTCTGCAGAGACCCCAGATTTGTGTGTTCAAGGGACAGCAAGAAGCCCACAGAGCTGCTGGAGAGGAATGAGAGGGAGCGACAGCGGTGGGACAGCAGGACAGACAGCTCACCAGGGGCTAAGTGAGTTTGGATTTTATTCCAAGTAAGATGGAAAGCCAGTGAAGGTTGTAAACCAGAGAATAGCATGATCTGATTGATGCTGTAAAAAATTCGTGTTCACAAAAAGAAAATAGAAAGGATTAGTGTAGCTGCTGCATGGAGAAGGAATTGTCAAAGAAAGAGTAGACACCCACCCAATGAATAGGAAGCTCTTGCAGTAGTTGAAACACAGAATATGGCGGCTGGACTGGGAGAGGACAATGGAGATAAACAAAAGGGGTCTATTTTGGATAGATTTTGAAAGTAGACAAGCAAAAGTGTTTAGTCTATGAAGCAGGATGATAAATTTTGCCATTGGCAAAAGTAGAGAGATTACAAAGAGGAAACAGTTAAAAATGAAGTTAAGTTAGGAAAGCTTTGTATATGTTAAATTTGAGGAAGAAGAGAAACATCCAGCTAGTAATATCCGCCAAGGGCTGGAAAGGCAGGACTAGCCAGATGTAGAGTAAGAGCAACAAAATAAACTTGAGTTGCCAACGTGCACATTATAGTTAACACTACAAAAGATCACCGAATTTAAACTCAGTTAAGGATGATCAGTTTGTCCTCATAATAGGTTTTAGAATACATGTTTCTATAAGTTTAGTACGTGCCCTTATTTTAATAGTCCGTAAATTTCCAAGAATTAAGTCAATAAATGGTTAATCAATCTCTTAAGATTCTTTCCAGAACCTCTAAGTAATTTCTCTATACTCTGTGTGTGCATGTGTGTGTGTGTGTACATGCGCACAGATGTGCATCTAGTGCTAGAAATGAAAGAGGTCCAGGAGAAAGAAGGAAAGAGGTATCATTTCCCATGGAAAAACCAGGAGGTGAATATTTACCAATGGCAAGTTCACGAAAGAAAAAAAAAATAGGTTTTCAGTTCTGGGTACATATTTAAGACATGCAGACCACTTATCTCTATTCCCTCGATTTTAGAATTTCCATTTAGCTCAAAACACATTTGAATCTTTTATTCAAATCACTTTGCACCTAATGAGCCTCAAAATATGTGTTCAGCTTCTTTGGCAAAGTTCTTCTGACTAATAAGAGATTTATGACTTTTCTTTTGTCCTCAGTTGCTGTACCTGCCTTTCAGGGACTGCCCTCGTTTTCAAGAACTTGAGAGTGAGACTTTGAATTCGGAGGAATTCCAGAAGAGGCTGCATCCTTATAAGGTTAAAAAACAGTGTCATTTAGTGATGTATAGGAGTATGAGGGCCAAGACAAACGATGAAGCTCTAGCTTCTTAAAAGTGTGGGCAGAATGTGGCAGCCAGTGGCTGGATGTGGCAATGGGTTAGGATGTTTAACGAGGGTCCGTCATCGCTACCTGGTCCCTTTCCCTGTGCCAGGGCCACAAGCCAGGAAAGAAGCCAGTCCCTTTCAAATCCTATACCTGCGTCCCTGAGAGGAACCAGGTGAAAGTGCATGGCTGGATCAGAATAAACGCAGATCTTGAAACAATCTGTTTATTGAGGGTGAGGGGCTGGGGCTATTTTCCTCATATACAAAAGATAGTCTTTTATTTTATTCATAGATTTTTTTTTTAATTCGTAGATTTACTACTATTGAACCATTTTTACATTTCTAGAATCAAGCCCCTTTCTTTTAATATGATATTGAATTATTTGCTAATATTTTACCTAGACATTTTGCACTGATATTCAAAGTGACTGACATTGGACTATAGTTTTCTTTTCTGGCCAGTATTTGTCAATATCAATATTGCACATAGTTCATAAAATTTTTTGAAAGTTTGCTTTCTTTTTCTATGCTCCAGAACAACTAAAGGAACATTAGAATAATGTACTCAAAAAGCTTGGTAGAATTCCTCCATAAAATCATCTGGCCCTGGAGCTTTTGTTTTGTTTTGTTTCTTGAGGGGAAGCTCTTTAATAATTGTTTCTATTTGTTTTACGGAAATCTGTTTGAGTTAAAATTGACTCATATCCACTTCTAATTTTAGATCAGCATGAGGGTCTAGGGGGCAGCAGTTACTCTCATAGTTCTGTCTCAATAACAGATAACACAGTTTGCCCCCTTTGTGATAGAATTCGTTGCCCCAAACTAGAAAATTTATCCATCAGACAAACAATATCTTCCAAAAGCTTTCCTAGAAATTGCTGCCGATTTTATCAGGCAGATAGCTGAGCAGTGGGTCTCATTATCGCAATGATTCAAAAAAAGTACAGAACCTAAAGAAATGTTTGCATCCCGTCCACATTTCACGCTTACAGCCAGACCCCAGGTGCTGTTTCTGTTGCATCTTCCTGGGGTGCTCTGGCCTGAGATATGTTTTCCCTTCTCACCTTGGCTACTTATTTACATGTGAGTTTTACTTCACCTACTTGCAAAGAGAATTTGGGGCAGTGTGCTTCAATCTGATTCCAGGACAAACCAGGGACGTATAAGCCAGCATTTGCCTGCATTTTTAATGTAATAATGAGAAATGATCAATTAGTGTTTATAAAGTTCTTTGGGTTGGCATTATCATAGCCAATATTACTGGTGCACTTTTCTGTGAAGAACAGCAGGTCTCAACGGGGGCACAGCTGCCCCACAGGGAACATTTGACAATGTTGGAGAAGTTTTGGGTTGTCACAGTTGAGGGATTAGTGATGATGCTGGCATCAAGAGGGTAGAAGCCACGGATGCAGCTAAACCTCCTACAAAGCACAGGGCAGCCCCCAGCAACAAAGAATTATCCAGCCCAAAATGTCAATAGGGCGGAAGTCGAGAATCTCTGGGGTCGAAACTCTTTTTCTCCCTCTGTGTTTCAGGATTTTATAGAAACCTTGCCAAAACTTTCAGGATACCATGGCCAGGACCTTTTTGGAATTTGGAGTAAAGTCTACGACCCCTTATTTTGTGAGGTAAAAGAAAAAAATATCAAAGAATAACTTGCAGTCTGATTTTATGACATGCCTATTTCGAAATGAATGAATACGTTTTCTTTTGCTTTTTTTAGATGTATTACTTACACTTCCTTCGACATTGAAATTCAAGACTTCTTTATATTAACGTGAAAATTCTATCTTCTCTCCATTATCTATGTTTTCACCCTTTATAAAATTGCGAGCAAAATGGCTTTGCTTCTATGCCTTGGCACTTACTTATCTTTCAGTCATTCAGGAATGCCGGACTCCTGTCATGGATTTTAATGAAAAAAAGCAATGTTATGGCACAGAAAAAGAAAAAAAATTATGTGATTTCTGGATATAGAAATAAGCGAGCCAACTTTCAGCCAGGGTATTGACATTGGTTTGTTGAGAAAGAATCTCTTCCTTGCTGTACAATGCATATGAAATTGTAAGTTTTGTGGCTAAATTCCCGTTGAGTATTTTAAGGCTGCATGGTGTTTTTTACTCACCATGCTCCACCTGCGGGCCAAAAGGAGTACTCTATAGTCCTGTTTTCCCAACCAGTTCACTGAATCCTGGGGCAAAATTCTGACCCTCATGTGACTCATATCCACTTCTAATTTTAGATCAGCATGAGGGTCTAGGGGGCAGCAGTTACTCTCATAGTTCTGTCTCAATAACAGATAACACAGTTTGCCCCGCTTTGTGATAGAATTCGTTGCCCCAAGCACACACTCCTTTCTCAATATTTTCACTCTGTCATCAATATCTGTTTCAAGGAAGATTTGTTAGTCTTATGAAAGATCCTTCAATCAAGACAAGAGCCCACATTTTGGTTCAAGTCTTGCTTTTTTTCTTCCTTCCTACAGTTTAATCCGAGCTATTCATCATGTGGTCATGTGTGGTTTCTTTTTTCTTTTTCTTTTTTTCTCACTTCTTTCCTCTGTAGGCCACTTCACTTTGGTCTCCTCCTTTATGATTTCTCTCTCTCTCAGTCCTGCCTTTGAAACTGGGGGACTGTTCATCAACTCTTCCCAGCAGGTAATAAGTCTTGGCATAAGGTCCCTACTTGGCCCGCTCTGCAGCATATTTGTCCATTTAACAAATATTCACCAAGTGCCTACTATGTGCAAGAGGCAGACTTTCCCCAAGAGTCTGTGAACTAGACGCAGATAGGAGGGGGGTGTATTATTGAAAGCTCCAGAAATATATGACCTTTCCCAGCTGTCCTCTCAGGCCCATCACTCAGCTTGTAAGGAACCATCATCTAACCCTGTCAGCTTTTACGTTCACCACAGGTGAGTAGAAAGATTTCCAAACCTTTCCTGAAGGAATAAGGTACATTCTTGCCATCCCACACCCTTACTCTGCAAATAGGAATCACCCTGTTGACAAGGAATCACCCCTTAAAGCTAGAAGCTACAGGCTTGGTAGGAAGGGGAAAACTAGTTTCTGTGAATTTTCCTCCTAAAAATCAATTTACTTATCACAAAGTAAAGTTTTCCTGAAAAGAAATGGCAGGACAAGAAAGGCTGGACCATGTAGTTCTTGTGGGAAAAAGAGGATAAAATGTCAACACAGACAGTCAGAAATGAAACTACACATTTTCTTCCTCTTTCTTTGCTACAGAGTGTTCACAACTTCACTCTACCCTCCTGGGCCACAGAGGACGTCATGACTAAGTTGAGAGAATTGTCAGAATTGTCCCTCCTGTCCCTCTATGGAATTCACAAGCAGGAAGAGAAATCTAGACTGCAGGGGGGTAAGTATAAAAGAAATGAGGGGAGGGTATTGGATTTGTGGTTGAGTGATCTGAATCTGAGTCTCACCACCAATTGGCTGTGTGACCTGGGACAAGTCACTTAATCACTCCTGCACCAGTTTCCATTCTGAAAAATGGGGATAATAATGATACCCGCGTTGTAGTAGTGAGGAGTAAAATGAATGTATGTCTTCAAAAGACTTAGGACAAACAGTACCTGGTACATAATAAACTGTCAATAAACATTATGTGTTGTTATAGTCATCAACATTACCTACTCTGGGTCTTAGTTTTCCCATCTGGAAAATGAAACCTTTGGGCTAAAGCTAAATGATACCTTTCATTCTTTCCAGAATAAAGAATCAAGGATTTCATATACGAGCCCCATAAAAGTCAGTTGTGTCTGGCGGCCTATAGGTGAATTTTTCAAGCGGGACGTATGAATAAAGTGGTCTGTTTTCCTGAAGCCCTTGGTGGTCACCATTGCTAAAGTTGATAAAACATATTTTGCAGGCTAATTATGCCCTGTAAATTAATACACATGGCAACTGACAAGTTTATGGCACAGCTTGAATCTTTCCGTTGGTATTAAAAGGTGTTTATTTCTCAATGATGCCTCTTAGCTGGATTTGGCCCTTCATAGCATAGGACACCTTATCCTAATGAAGCTAGACCCAGGAGAGAGGAGGCCAAGCTCTTGTAATCAGGACAGGTGGTAGAAGAAAGAAGCCAGGACCAAGCAGGATGGGGATAGATGCTGAGGCTTCTGAGGGCAGCTGCATGGGCAGGCCAGGACATCAAAGAGTGTGTCAGGTTCAGGTGTGGTTAACATAAGCATTAAAACTAAGGCTGGAGAGCAAGAGGAGGTCCACCATGTCAGGTTGACACAACAGTGAAGCAATTCTAAGCCACAGGAGATGTTCCAAGTTATATACACCAGACAGTGTGAGGGGAACAGTACAATCACATCAGGACTCCAACCATCACCAGATCCTATTCACCATGAGGTCAGAACAAGTTCAGCAGAACCCCAGGAGAACACACAGAGGCAAAGCACCCTGGGGTTGGAACAGACTAGGAGGACGTTCACTCAGGGCTGCGTGGCTAGAGAAAGAATTCAAATCACCGACCAGGAGAGGAGTCATTACAGCTACACAAACAGATACAAAGGGTGAGGGAAGCTGTAACCAGGAGAACAGCTAATGAAGCGTGAAGTCAGGATGGTCAGGAGCAACTTCATATGAGGCGAACAAAATATCTTGGGGCAAATAATTTAGGACAGTGGTCATTAAAGATGTGAGGATGCTGCAGACTGGCTGTTAGAGAAGTCTTGATTGCACGGCACAGAGGCAGACCAGAGAGAAATGTGCAAGTCCTGACTCCATATTAAGGGCATGAGCAACAAGATCCAGCCCTTGGGGAAGGGAGAGCAACCCGAGATGAGTCTTAGATGGAACCTGGTATGCTGGGGAAATGATCAGACAGGATACAGACTGCGTGTAGGGACGGAACCCAGGAAGCAGTTCAAGCTCAAGTACTAAACAACAAAGGATGCAGAGGGTGGAAGTTGGGCCCCGTTGGCTACACAAGCCCCAGGCCTCCTTCCTGGACCACCAGGTGCCAACAGGATGACTCAATTCCAAGCCCCATCGCATGGTGGATGCAGGACTCTTGATTTATTTCCCCCAACCTAGTCATGACAGGCTCAGGAATTCAGCCCCTCACTACTTAAAATGCAGCCTGGGGACCGGCAACATCAGCATCACCCAGCATCTGGCTAGAAATGCAGAATCTCAGGCCCCACCTAAGATCAGCTGAGTCAGAAGCTGCATTTTAATAAAATCCCAAGGTACCTCACATGGACATTAAAGTTTCCGAAGCACTTCTCTAGATGCAAGATGGTGAAGAAAATGGCAGGGAAAACCAGGCTGTAGTTGACAATAATCTAATAAGAGAGGCAGTGGTTTGTATCAGAATAAAAGATTGGGTTTATCCTAACAGCTCACTCTTTTTCCTCTTTCTTTCCGTTGGCTATTAGAGATTGCATTTCGGGGAAGTCACTTCCCCTCCCTGGGTCTCAGTTGCCCCGTCTGATGAGTGCATTAAACTAGATTCTGTCTGTGAGAGTCCTTTCCTACGTGTTCTTTCGGTCTTGGACTCTGAAGGCTGGCACTCGTGTGAACACACCTGTCCTGTTTTCTGGAGGAAGTCCAGTGCCATTGATAAGCCAGGAAATTGTTTCCGGAGTAATTCCTGCCAAAACACACACTCCACCTGTTGTTCAGATCTGGCTGGGCAAGAGAGATTTCAACTACGTGCTTGTTCAATGATGAAGCAGCTGAGCACAATCCTGCAGAGAAAACATGTGTTGTCTAGATGACACAGAGTCACAAGGAACATCAGGACTTTGACTAGCATCTTCTGACCTTTGCCGAAACTTTTGTTCCATCCGCTGGTTTCAGGGGTGACACTGTTCAGTAATATCCTTCCCCACCCTGCTGCTGCACACACACACACGTACAAGCACGTGCCAGAAAATCCCTACGGCTCATTTAGGAATATATGGTTGGTCGCATCTGTATTAATGGAAACGTCTTCTTGCTCTAGACCAGGGGTCTGCAAACTTCACCCTGCAGTCCAAACCTAGCATGCTGCTTATTTTGCTATAAGTAAAATGTTATTGAAACTCAGCCACCCTCATTCATTTAGGTGGTGTCTCTGGCTGTTTTTGTGCTTCCACCTGAAAATGAACAATTGTGACAGACCATATGGCCCACAAAACCTAAAACATTGACTATCTGGCCCTTTACAGAAAAGGTGTGCCAACCCCTGCTGTAGCCCAGGAGTGAGGGAAGTGAAGTTTATGTCTTCCAAGCAATGGTATTTCGTCTAGTTTATGCAGATTTAATAAATGATGCAACAGGGAACTCAGAAGCTAGCTGACGCTACAGTGTGGTCTAATGATTAAGAGCAAGGGTTTTGAAGTCAGACATGCTGGGTTCAAAGAAGCTCAGCCCCTCTGCTTACAAGTCGTGTCATCTTGGACAGTCCCTGAACCTCTCTGAGCCTCAGTTTCCCCACCTATAAAACATAATTATTGGCATGCCAGCCTGAGGATAATCATAGTAATTACCCCTAGTTTCTCCTGGGAGAGGGTGGTCAATTACCCCAGAGCCAAGCACTGCTATCACGTTCCATTAGCAACACCGAGTCTGCTGCAAAGTTACCTGTTGACGAAGGACAAGTTGCTGATTGAAGAATCTGGCTGTCATGACTCCCAGAAACTTGCCACAGAGTTTAGTACCAACGCGGCGTGAAGATCAAGCGGAAGTCCTTCAAGAGCTCCCAGAGGGCAACCTCCTCTGTACAGAAAGACGCAGACCTGTGGAGATGTAGCATGCGGCTGCTCCATTCACAGGCAAGGAGGTCCCAGGACCTACAGAAAGAGCAGATCGCCTGCCTCCATAATTAACCCCTTACTGTGCTTACTGGCATAAACAGTCTCTTCTTACTGTTTTATGATCTTTTGAGGACAGGAATTGTGTCTGATTTACCTAGCGTAATATCTGTCCATTGTAGCTGTTCAGTGTGTGTTTGCTGAGTGGACCCCAGAGAGTGGGATTGTAGTCAGTCTGTTAACATCAGTGCCCTGCTCATTACAAAAAAAAAAAGGTCATCCTTAAGCTAGGAGAGCACATGTATAGTAGAGAGACCACCAAACAGAGACACAAGGAGTCTTCAGGTGCTGGTTGTGGAAGTTCTTGAGGCAACGTGTCCTCAAAACAGCACCTAGCGCCACAGGTACCCCTCAGCCTTCAAAGTCGGCAAACAGGATGGAGACTCTGCGTTGTCCATCTGCCTTTCACCACCTCAGGAGCAACAAACGTGAAAGGCAAAAGCTCTCCTCTACTGAAGACAGATGGAGCCCTCAGATAAAAGCTAAAGACGCTGGCTGCCCCCTTATTAGTGATACCCAACATAGCCTGGAGAAATGGGCCACAGAAAATAGCCCATTACCCGTGCATACATCCAGAGAGCTGCTGTCTCCCATGGCCTCTCACAGGTCTGATTGCCAGAGTGGAAGCAAGAGGCGTGAAGACAGAGAAGTACATGCCAGCTGTCATTTCTGGCCAGCACTGGAGAAGAGCGGTGGCTAGCAACTGTCCAAAAAAAGCCATCTGAAATTCTTTCTAAGTTCTCAGCCTCCTAACTCAAGCTTTAGCAAAACCTGGTCTAGCAGAGTCCAAATGTGCCAGTCCAGCTCTCCTTCCCCAGCTATGTGAGTCACTTAATGTCTCTGGGACTCAGCTTCCTCACCTGTAAGTGGGGGATAGAAGTCAGCATTCAGTAAAATAATGTCTGTAAATCACACCACAAATGCATAGCAGATGCTCAACCAAGTTAGTTCTTTCCCTCTCTTCTTAAGTCTTGAGAATCACAGCAGAGAGAATCACTAAGTATGAATTAACAAAAAGCTTATGAACTGAAATATAAGCCCATGTTTGGTTCAGCTCCAATGTTGGTCTATCTTATTTAAGGTGTCCTGGTCGGTGAAATCCTCAATCACATGAAGAGTGCAACTCAGCCATCCAACCACAGGAAACTTGTCATGTATTCTGCAGTAAGTATTTTTGTCTCCGCTCAAATCCATTTGTTCAAGTGTGTGATCTCTTGGAGGAGGGGGCCTCATAGTCTTCATCATTATTTCCCTATAGCCTAGTAAATGGTAGACACCTGTTCAAAGCTTTTAAAATCAAATACATAATTCTGGCCCTTGAAGAATTTACAATTTAATACTGACAAGAAGACAAGTAAACACATAAACACCATACAAAGCAGTGTAGAAATGCCTTACATGCCAGTTGTTTCATGCCTCAGAGAAGGAAAACATCCCTTCTGTTCCAAACTAAAGCCAGGGCAGCAAGAGGAGAGGCAGAGTGGCAGCAGGGTGATGAGGAAGGCTGAGTGTACAGGACTGAGTGATGACTTGGAATGTGGGTGGAGGGCAATGACATGGAAGGTGAAGCCGCAGGTGAAGGCGATGTTTCAAGCCTTGATGACTGGAAGGAGGGTGGAACCACTAACAGAGGTGGTCTTGGGCCGGGTGAATGTACCCATTAGACAATTTGGTTGGAAATGGCAGGAGGCATCCAAGTAGAAAACTCCAGATGGCAAACGGGCTAGAAGAGGGAAAGGGAAAGAGAGCTGCATCCTGAAGGTAGAGCTACATTTGGGTGCAGAAAGAAAAAAGAGAGAGAGCAATCTTAGAGAAGACTTCCATCTTGGAGCGGGAGGCAGGGAAAGACGCATAGTTGTGGGCGAATTCTGGGGACATATCACACACTGAGATGGCGTCCATGGAGTCTGGGGTGAGCAGGGAAACAGGACACAATATGCTGACTCAGTCTCCCACCGACTGTCTCCATGACAGCAGGTTTCTCAGATGTGGTTTGGCTGGAGAAAGCCACGTTGTCATTCTACAAGATGATGGAAGGGGTGACTAAAGATATGGGAAGTTTTTAATTGTCTGGAGTTCTAAATGGTATAGACTAGAGAAAGAGCCCATGGAGGGAACGGGATGCAGTCCTTCCTGAAGAGAGGCAGACCTGGAATTAGTCAATTCTGCCAGTTTTTCTAGTTTCTATATCTGGTTTCCCGTTCTAATGTGTTGTGTGATTTCTGGCAAGTCATATATCTCTAACTCCATTTCTTTCTCTAGTAAATCATTTCTAACCCTTTTGAAGATGTGTAACTGCCATATAGTTTAGGCAACCGAATGGTATGCCCATTTTGTAGATATGGAAGTTGAGGACTTCTTAAGATTAAATAGCTAATCAGTGGCAAAACTGGGACTGAAAACCGGTCCTCTATGCCTTCCAGACACTCTGTGATAAACCTTTAACAATTAGTTTTAAGTTACACACCCTATTTCCTTCTATTGTATCCTCTCTAAACATTCATAACCTCATATATTCTTTCCCAACTTTAAAATTGCAGATTACTCTATAGGAAAAGATATAATATAGCATTAATGTGTTCCAAAATATTTTAAACTTTGATAAAAATCAATGAAACAAGCTAAGATAGAGATATGTTCTACTGGGAAAAGCGTGGGACAAAATTGGAAGACTTGGCTCAAATTTACTTTCTTCCATTTGGGGTTAAATGGCATTAAGCAAGTTACTCAATTTCTCTGGATCTCAGTTCATCTTTAAAAAGGAAATAATGATATGTATATAAATCTTCCTGCCTAGCACACAGCAGATGCTCAACCAGAATTAGTTCTTCCCCTCTCTACTTCTTAAGTCACTAGGTGTATTGGAAATCTAATTGAATCAGAAACCATTATGGCGCTCTACAAGTACTTAATGTATGCCTATTGAACGTAAATCTGAGCCAGAGGTAAAGATCTGAAACAATTTGTTTCAAATCTCTGTAGCATGACACTACTGTGAGTGGCCTACAGATGGCGCTAAATGTCTACAACGGAATCCTTCCTCCCTATGCTGCCTGCCACTTAATGGAGTTGTACTCTGAAGCAGGGTGAGTATCTGAGAGGTACTTTTCAAAATTAACATCCCTGGACCCCGGGTTTTGTTATTATTATTGTTATTGTTGGTTTAAGGGTTGTTTTGTCTATTGATTGGTTTGAGTTGGTTTTATATTCAGAGGCAAGAATGGTGCTGACTAACAGTATCTTTGCTAGTCGTGACCCCTTTTTTCTTTGTTTTCATGAAGGCTTTTATTGGGAAATAATGTACATACACAGTAGATGCAAAATTTGAGAGAACCACCCTAAGTCATAGAAATTACGTTTTTTAAAAAAAGATGAAGGCGTTCTAACACATATGTAGACATTACACTGTTCTCTTGGAAAACTGAGGCTGATAGAAGATGCCAAGAGAAAAATAAAGTTGGTTGATAGTTATATAATAATGTTCTTTCTATTAAAGACTTCAAACGTATCCATGCAGCTTCTGGTGATTCATATCTGCCAGTTAAGATGCTTTAAACACAATTTCTGACCAGTGTTCACCACTTTGCAATCTGGTGTGGCCCTCCACAGCTGACCAAGGCTCGGCTTGAACCCACTAGAAAGACCAAAGTTAGTGACCGAATGTCTGAGTTTACCCAGACTGAAGGGCTTTCCAGAATGCATGAGTTTCATTGTTAAAACCAGGAAAGTCCTGGGCAAACCAGGAAGAATTGGTCACAATAGCCAAGGTCACACCAAGAATTTGTATCAGCTGTGACACTGGCATGCTCATTGGAAAGAAGACAGAGGAGGTGTTTTGGGCAAGTCACCAGATCTTGTGGGATATTATTGGTGGAATAAGAGCAAGGAAGGGGCTGAGTTAGAGCAGTGACCCCAGAGTGTTATTTCAGAGTTAGTTGTGGAGGTTAATTTTGCCCTCCCCACAAGGCATTCACGAGCTGCAGGCGGGACCAGCTTGACTGTGCAGTAGCATAGGGTCCTGTGCTCAGAAGAGCCCGTGCTTGGTTTAATGATCTGCTGATGCCATCTTAAAATTCTTAATAATTTTTAAACAAGGGGCCCTGCATTTCTTTTTGCAAATTGCGTAGTCCTGGCTGTCGGTTTCCAGCCCCCCGGATTTGTAGAGTAGGAAAGGAGAAGCATAGAAGCCTCATCCTCAGCCACCATCCTTACTGTTTACAAAGGAAGCGAGTCCTGCACAGTTAGGGAAGGGGAGGGTCATCCTTTATTGACCCTCTAACCCGGTGCCAAGTACAATGAGATAGAACTAAAATGTGATCTTAGCTATCTTTGCTCTCAAATATCTAGAGTCAGGGTGGAGAGACAATACCCACAACATGGGGAATAGCCAAACAGAGCAGAAAATGGGAATGAGACGACTGTAGACATAAAGTGCTCTCTTAACAAAGCCTGCATAAGTTTGCCCCTTCGAAGGTCAGCTCTAGGCAGAGTTAATAAATCCAGCGAAAATTCCAGGATCAGCTCTAGGAGTAGGCACTATCTCTTTGGGGATAACACAAAAGAAGCTGCCCACTTTACTCGAACCTCCCACCTCTTGGTTTCTGCACCCCGGTGGTCCTGAACCTGCTTTTATTTAGGGCGCTGCAGCGTTTTGTCCAACTGAATCACTTTCTGAATCAAGTGGGGGTATCTTTCAATGAGATACATTGACATACAGAAAAAAACTTAACCAAGGGCCACTCACAGGTAGAAGTCAAGTTTGTCGTCATATTGGGTTTTTTTTTTTTAACACTTCAGAGAAATGTCAAGAGTGAAATTTGCTTTTAAATTAGGAACAAAGAGACTCCGAGTTAACAGATACTGTATATGCCTACATCCAAAAGTGAGCCTGAGCGTAAGGCAATCCCACCTTTTCCCTGTGAGAAAATAACAAGAGAGACAGAGAGGATTTTTAGATTTTTAGCCATCTTAAATATATAAACTTTTAAGGTTATAGATAAGATGGCTGAATATATTCTTAAAATATCTAATTTTTAGTTAGGTACATAATTTTAAAATCATATACTATATAAAATAATTCACTAAGTTAAAAACATTGCTTCTTTCCACTTCTGTACTTTATGAAACACTTTTATCTGAACTCTTTGTATGCATCTTAAAGTTGTGTCTTGACCACTGGAGCCATTTTGAGTCCCCTAAAACTGTCTTCCAAATGTATTAACTAATAAGGCTGCCATACAAATGAACCTCAAGTTCTCAGAGGCTTAGCCCAATGAAGATTTATTTCTCACTCACCTAACAGTCCCCCACAGGTGTTCCTGGCCAACACGAGGTGACTCACCCATGGTGTGATTCGCACGCGGTGATTCAGGGACCTAGGGTTCCATCTTTTGGACCTACAGTTTTCAAGAGTGCCATACTTACTCTTGTAGAAAGGAATGAGAAGTTGGAGAAGGCAACCTGCTTATCAACCATCTCAGCCCGGAAGGGGCACCTACCACTTCTACTCACATTGTACTGGCTAAGATCAGTCACTTGGTCCCTCCTAGGTGCAAGGGAGTCTGGAAAATCTCGTCACTTGTCAGCCATATCTCTATTCCATGGAAAGAGAATCATGAATTTTGATGGCCTATTAGTCATCTTTGTCATATCATCTTGAGATAAAAGATACTGTACGGTCACTGGAAAAGTTATTCTAGGATCTAAGTACTCATTCATATCATATTTGGGAGTTTTTTTAAACATATCTTATAAGTAAATATTTGTGGTTACTACTGTTTAGATGGCTTTCTAAGGTGATGTTTTAAGAGGCTTGTTTATAACAATATTCAAAAGTTGCAATTGTGTGGTTACTACCCCAAGAAGGATTGCTAAATCCTACTTGAATTTCTCTCCTACCTCTTTGGCAAATGACTTCCATGAGCACCTCATACTAGCTTTACCAGATTAGTTTAGGCCACTGGTACCTCCTGAAACAATACATTGCTTTTTGAAATAAGATATTGAGAGATCCTTCCTTAATATGAGAGAAGGTAAGGACTTGGATATACACCACCACCCCCACCCCCCGAGGTATAATTTTGGTAAGTCCTGCTGTATATTCAAGCACGTATGTTATATATTACTCAATTCCATGTTTATGGCCTGGTTAAGGAGAGAGGAGATAGGTTCATTCAGGGGAAAGATTGAAAATTACTGAGAGAAGGAAAGAGAGAAAAGGAAGGAGCAAATGAGATGTGTGAAAGGGAGAAAATAGGAGAAAGAAATCCCAAAATTCCACCTTCCCCTCACTTCTTACTCAAAGACTCATCAAATCCCTCCCAAATCCCCCAGCAGTTGCCTCTCAGCTCTTCCTCTGATTAAGCATCCTAGTTCCCCCCTCCTATGTCCCTGATCATCCAACAAATCAGCCCTCCCATTTCCACTCTCTGGATCTTGCCCGTCTGCCCCAATCTCCCTATTCCTGTACCTAAATTGGCTAAAATCTACTCTTTCCCATAAATTCTTCCATTAGTCCCTCAACTGACATGTTACAGTTCAGGTGGAAAGAAATTCAAAGGCAGTTCAGCAACGCAGAACTTACAGAGCTATCTCCTCTCCCTTCCTCCCCTTCCTCCACCAGGGAGTACTTCGTAGAGATGTACTATCGGAACGAGACGCAGCACGAGCCACATGCCCTCACATTGCCCGGCTGCACCCCGAGCTGTCCTCTGACCAAGTTTGCTGAGCTGGTTGCCCCTGTGATCCCCCAGGACTGGTCCACGGAGTGTATGACCACAAGCAACCACCAAGGTACTGAGGACATTACGGCTTAGGGTATATACAGAGCTCTGCAGAAAGGACAGAATGCCCTTTCTCCAGGCCAGTGGTGCTTTGAGAATTTAATTTGGCCATCACCCCCAGCTTTGAGGGAAATGGGTTTGGGGTGATAATTGTATGTTACAAGGACCCCCAACTTCAGGCAACTCTTACCTCTCTACCTACCTTTGCCCCCACTTGCCTAAACCTTGGCTTGGTTTTTTCATTGTTAATACAAAAGGGCATCAGTGGCAAATACAATCAGAGGCAAAGCTTAGATCAAAGTTCAAGGGGCTGCCATAAGCCTTATGATGGGTTACACAGGACCTTTTGTTGTTTAAGGACTCCCAGATTTTGTTTGTGCAGGATTAAATGAGGCTGTTCCTTAAGCGCCTGAAATGGAGCAGGTTTCAAACAAAATCCGCAATCTAGGGTGAGAACAAGGAAGGGAAGACTTTAATCCTAGGCTAATGGGCAAAGGACCAACTTACCCATTAGTTCCAGTCTTCTCACAAGGAGAGGCAAAGAAATGAAATACAATGGAGAGATCTGGAGAAATTATTCACTGGGAAACTGGTACTCTCTCTCTTTATTTATTTATTTATTTATAAAACATATGGGGAGGCAGAGCTGAAAAATAAATACCTCTTTGTATCCTTTGGCCCTGGAAAATTCATGTTACTTTTGAAGAAACCAAAATGAAACTTGCCAGAAAACTTTGCTATATATAATACATATGACAACTCTTGGAATACATACATCATAGCAAATAAATAATTTGATGAGAACAAGATATTCAGGCACCACACGTCAGAGATGAGAGCCCTGAATGAGTGAAGTTTCTCCTGAAGCTCTGATGGTAAGAGATGTTGAATCTGAAGTTGATTTAAGAGAGGAAGTATGATGACACATATCAAACTGGAGCAAAATTAGAAATGTGAGAATGTTCTGAACGCCTCCAAGATCAAAACTTACTGGAATGTTGAAAGTGTGGCTATGATATCTCTTTTGAGGACAAAAAGAACGTGTGAGGCTTTGATTGTGGTATCGTCAGAAAACCTAAGCAAACTACAGGTCCTGATAAAACTGCTCATTACACAAGAAGAAATCGTGTTCAAATGATACTTCTTAGAGTCCTATTGATTTGCCATGTGGCAAATGCAACACCATGCTACATTACCATTACGGATAAAGATGAAATGATTTCTAGAGATGATTTCTACTGGATGCCAGAGTCTAGAGCAAAGCCCTCTCCTGCCTGGTCTTGGGATCACTGACACAGGACATCAATTAATATGTTTACTTGTATTATTTCTTTCCCAAGTAAATATTTGGCCTTGGGGCCAAATAATCATCTAATTATTCTTTCTCCTCCATGCATGTAACTTTCCTCCAGCAGTGAGCCAAATGTAAAATAGTGAATAAAGTCATTACTGGGAAGTTCAAAAGCATTACTTTTATAATGAATTTTTAAAAGTGTGTGTGTGTGTGTTTCATTAGAATAAAATTCCTGAAGGACAGATTTTAGGGGTTCTATTTTTGTTTGGGGGTTTTAATTTAACAGGAGGGGAAATATTAATATAAAGAGAAATGATCTGACTGGTGTAAATGAATATTTTACATTGAAAATGCATTTAGATTGGACTTTACTACAGATAAAGGCTAAGCTGATGGATGCCTCTGCTTCATCTATTCAAAATGGAACTTGCTAAGAAAATGCTCTCGGAAAATTTACAATGTAGTGGGAAAGTAAAGAGATACATAATACACAGAATAACAAAGACTATGTCTTATCACTCCAAGGGTTGTGATGGGAACAAGAGTTACCTGGATTTGGAAGGAGGGAGGCAGTAAGGAATGGCAGGGAAGACTTCCTGCAGGAAGTGGCAACTGCACCAAATGAAGTAAGTTTGGATGGAGGTTTCCAATGGTGTGTCACAAAGTGTTAGAAAGGCATTTGTCGAATGTCCTGGTGGCTTGAAGCTGGAAAGGATAAGGGAGTTAACTCAGAAGATTCTGTAAAAGTTTAAAGATTTATATGATCTAAAGAAAAACCAGAGTACAGAAGATCCAGAATCTTCCTTCCCACAGGTTTCATTGAAGGGGCCAATTCTAAGGAGAGAAAATGTCATCTCCACAAGAGCAAAGATTTTATCTATGTTCTCTCCTATACCTGTCCTTAGCTCCTAAAAGTGCCACTGGTATGGATTGGCGCTCCATAAACATGTGCTCAATGAGTGTATAAATTAATTGCCTTTCCTCCTTGAACTTACTCTTTTCTATCTTGATTAGAAGCAAAGACCAGTGATCTAGGAGTTATTTTTGACCCTACCCACTCCTTCATCCTCCACAGCCAGGCTGTCCCCTCCTCTTATCAACTCTACGTGTAGTATGTTTGCAGAATTCTTTTCCTCAAGACACCGATAGCAACAATTCAATATCCAAATAGAGTGGAATATAATTAAACAGAAAAAATGTTAATAAAAAGAAAACTTTAAGGACTGTTGCGCTGGAGCCACTCAAACAGATCTTGAGTGGAATGAGCATATCACTTCCCAACTCTGAGTTCAATGACTTCAACTTGGCAGTTTGAAATTGGTCATGGTGTCATGGCAGTGGTATTTTCACTATAGAAATCAGCATGTGCCACAAATCAGAGTTTTGTTTTTTGACTTTTGATTTTTTAGATCCAGTTTACCAGCACATCACTGGTTTAAGCTCATAGAAAACTTGTTAAAAGTCTATAACATGAGGTGGTCTTCAACGAAGGGAATTCAAAATTTGAATTTCTGTAAGGAAAAAGGATTCGATTTGTTCTCTGTGGTCTCAAAGAGTGATGTTAAGGGCAGCAGTAAACATTTCAGGAAGACAGACTGTGTTCAGTGTTGGGAAATTCCTCAGACCGGAAGTGTCCATTTGGCTCGATGACCCCTTGCCTTGGCAGAGACACTATAGAGCAGGCTAAAGCCTGGAAGGTTGTAGGGGTTGAATGACTCCTCAGTAGGGCCACCCAATTTAGCAAATGAAAGTACAGGATGCTCAGATAAATTTGAAAAATAGCTCTAACTGCTGAATTTTTATAATTTATTGAAAAAAAGTTGAATTCAGGACATTTAGGGTGTCCTGAGAAATCCAATACAGGAAGCAGGGCAAAACCACTAAATACAGGACATGTCCTGGATATACAGAATGTCTGGCAGCCCTCCTCCTCAGGATATTTCCACCCATGAAATCCTAACCATACTTATATGCAGTGTTTTCAGCTAGTGCTGGTAGATCCAATTAATTTCATTCTCATATCAATTAGGTTAACCAGAGCCTTTGCTGGGAAATTCATGATAAGTCTAAGTTCCATACTATGTTACTTTTTCCATGCTAGTTACTAAAAATAATAAAATCTTATTTTTAGAAAATGCTTCTTTAATTCCAAAATTTTACTAACACAGGCTTTCTTTGCTAGCACTCTCTCAATCCCTACCTCAATCTCCAACTCCAATTATTTCACAGGAAGGCAATTTACTGGTGGGAAGTTCCAGTTTCCCCTCATGATCTTTGTAAAGCTGAGAATCTATGGTACATATACACCTGCCCAAGATTCAACCATGAACTTTTAAAGACAGGACCCATACCTTTTTCCTTCTTGAATCTTCAGCTTGTAGACAATACCTAGAACCTGGTACCTTCAATCAATATTTACTAATTGAACAAATGTTCAGTCCTCCATACCTAGCCTACTTTCTCGTGGCTGGGCCTAGGTGTCAAAAGCCTGGAACTCAGTTGTTCAACAAATAGGGAAGAGAAGCTGTGAATGAGCCTTGAATATATAGTTATTGACTATATATATGTATGTATGTACCAACATATTCGTATTATTTGGCTTCTGTTTTCAGCATAGTCACCTTGGCATTCTCTTATTACCCCGTTGCTGTTTAGAGCCCCTGTTTAGTGGTACCCCTTCCTGCCTCCCTCCTCCCTCAGAGATGAGGGCATCTAATTATAATACCTTTTTCTCATCCTTGTTGCCATTATCATCATTTTCCCAGGACATGTCTCATCATTCAGTAATGACATTGGGAACTTGTTTTGGTATACACCAACTTACTCCTTGCTCCCACTCCTGCCCTCAACCTACATAATTCTGACAGTCATAACAATGGCCATCCCATACCCCGCCCACCACACCACTAGACAACCCTAGATCAAATCAACCACACAGTTTCGCTGTTCCGATCTGTTGAGTGGAGCTGAAGCCTGCTGTCACCATTTCAAACTATAAATGTTGAAATTTCTATTCCAACCTCAGCTGCATCTTTCAACACTGCTTGGTAAATGTATTCACCCTGACTGGATTCCTTTCCTGTTTCTACAGGAAGGCCTTGTTATTTTTCCCAAACTTCTAATTCCATCTTGGCTTCTTTAATTCTCATCAGATGTCTTGAGAAGAGCAAGATAATCCATTGAAAAATTTTTTAAGTTCTCCTGTCAGTACTTCAGAATATCTCAGTAGCTTTAACCTGTCTTTACTGCTGTCCCTCAGGAAAACATGTTCCTCCTTGAGTAACCTCCTTTCCTCGTGCATATGATCCCACCCCTACAGAATCCTCAGACCTCAATGAATCCCTTAGTTTCATTTTCTTCCTCTGTACGGGCTCCTTCCCTTCTCCTATGAAAATGCCCAAATCTCCTCTCATCAGAGAGCACCCTCAAGTGCCTGTTCCATCTCACTCTCTTCAATCCCAATGTTCTTGAACTAATAATTTACATTCTCTGACTGTATTTCTTCATCTCCCTCTCACTCCTGACTATTCAGTAAAATGATGTTCATCCTTCCTTCATCTCTTCTTTGAAACTTCCCTTTTCAAAGTCACCAGTGCCTAATTCAGTGGCTTCTTTTCCTTTTCCTGTGAAGTGGGTACCAACATCCCTATTTTACAGAGAAGAAAACTGAAGCTCCGAGAATAACGTGCCACAAGTGGCAAGGTCAGAGTTTAAGCCTAACGCTTTCCAACACCATGTTTCTACTTTTTCATGTTTCTTTCCATTCCACACTGTCTTGTGGACTATTCCCTTAGGAAAATTCCCCAAAATAGGATTAGTGATTCAAAGTATATGACTATTTAATAAACAATAGATATTTATTGAATACCTATTATGTACTCAATATGTGCCTATGTAGCAGATGTTACGTTTGTTGAGGAAACAGAAGCAAAACAAGAAAATTGTCCCCATGTGACTTTTAGATCTTGGCAGGGAGATGGGGAGGCAGGCAAGGAGGACAGAGAAATAGAGAATTAATGAAGCCCTAACAGTAAAGTACGGTAAATACATAATGAAGGACATGCTGTATATAATGAAGGACATACAGGCGACTATAAGAACATACAGCGGTGGCAATTACCTAAGTCTCAGGGGTCAGAGAAGGCTTCTTAAAGGGGGTGATGTTGAAACTGAAACCTGAAGGACAGAGGGAATTAACCAGGTGAATGGAGGTGAGGAGAGAGGAGAATGTTACAAACAAAAGAGAGAGAATGTAGAAAGGCCAAGAGGCTAAATACATGCATGGGGCATTTTAGGAACCGGAAAAAGTATGTTTGCTGAGAGTGCAAGGAGGCTGGAGAGGCAGGCTTAAGTGTCTCATCACCGGAAGGTTTTAGGTAGAGGGGAGATGACGTAACTGCCTTGTTTCAGAAAGACCTCTTTGGCTCCCATGGGGGGACTGGATTGGAAAGCAGTGGGACCGGGGGCAGGGAGAATAGTCAGGAGGCTATTGCAGTCATCCAAGGACTAGGGTGAGTGAAGGAGAAAAGCAGACTTATTCAAAGGAGGAAAAGAAGTAGAGCAGACAGGACTTGGGGATTAATGGCAAGAGGAAGAGGCTTTTGAGACATATTGCCAAAATAGTTTTCAAAAAAGCAGTGCCAATTCACACTGCCTTCAGCAGCTTTCACGCATTCCCATGTAGTGGACGTCGTCAGCCATTACCTGTACCGGACCTCTTTGCAGTAACATGCAATTGATCATTCTCTCTTTTCTCCGATTCTAGAACATTACTCTGTCAAACTCACAAAATCCTTTACAGTACAAGGGAGTACATAATTTAAGAAATAAACACCAGAGAGAGAGACAGAATCTCTCCTGAGTCTTCTCTTTGTTCTCAGACTCCTTGTTCAGTTTTTCTTGGGTGGATCGTTTCTACCAACCCCCTAAATGATTGTGTCCCAGGGCCCGGTCCTTGGTTCCCTTATTCCACACTCACCATAAGCCGGTATTACCCAGGCCTGCATCTTCTATAATTCTTACTTCTATATCTACACATAAAATTCTAGACTTGTTTTTTCCAGCTGCTTACTGACCATCTCAATCAGGATAACAAACCATTGGAATCCTACATTTGAAACAAAATTTGTTATCTCCTCTACTCCAAACGGATCCTTTTTTAATGTGCTTCCAATCTCAATTCACAGCCTAATCGTCTTGTCATTCACCCAAGCTAGAGCCCAGGGGGTGGCCTTGACCACAACTTCTCTGTGGCCAGTATCTTTAGTCCATCACAAAGCCTGTCAGTGCTACTTCAGGAGTCTCCTGAATTCTCTCATTTGCATTCTCAGGGCCACAGTTCCAGTGCTGAGCGCTCAGTATCTTGTCAAAGGCATTTTAATAGCTCTCACTTACGCCTACACTATCTCCGTCATCCTATCTTTTTCCAGTTGGGGCTTTTTTAAGACACAAATTAGCCCATTTCACCTCCATGTGTAATAATTGCTGATGATTTCCATTTGCCTCATGGCAAACCAGACCTTCTAAAGTCTTGGCCCCAGCCTACATATCTTATCTTAGCTCTCCGTAACCTATACTCCAGCCACATGTAACTACTCATTATTTACCAAACAAACTCTTGTGCAACTCAGTCTGTCTCATGGCAAAATCTTCTTTGCCGCTAGGCCAGCCCAAATCTTATCATCTTCTCAGAAGACTTTCCAAATTCTTTGTCTTCCAAATAGAATACCTTGTGTTAATTGCAACTTTCTCTCTGTCCCAATGACATATCTTTTACAACTCTATTTTAGTATTTTTCATGTTATTTCATAATTGTCTATCTGGTTCTCTGACTAGATATTGAGGTTCTCAAGAGCAGGGATCGTGGAACCTCAGAACCCAGCACACAGCTGACCTGGAACGTGGTGTGTGCTCACTGCATGTCTAGGAGGGAACAAAGGAAGGAAAAAGAGAAGGAAAGCACATTCCGTGGGACCACCATGACAACATAGCCAATAAAAATAATTGAAAATAAATTTCCAAATACAGAATGTCAGCCATGAGCATTAATTTTGAGAATCGTTAGTCTCTGCCTTCCTCCTCCATTTCCATTTAGTCGTTTCCTTCCTTCCTTCCTCAATTCTTTTTAGTTCCTTCCAACTTTGCATTAATTCTATCCACAGTGCTAATGTTACCCATCCACCAGGATCTAATTTTACTAATATTCACCTTCTCGTGATGTAAGAGGAACCCTGACATCATGAGAAAAGTACAGGACTAAGAGTTGGGAACCTACGAGTTCTGCATCATTAATTCTTTCCACAAATATTGGTTGAGCATCTGCTATGTGCCAGGTCCTGTTCTAAGTGCTTGGGATACATTCATGAACAAAAAAGTCAAAGGTTCCTGCCTTCACAAAGCTTACATTCTATTAGAGAGAGGGAGGGATGGAAAATAAAAGATAAACATAATAAATATTTTGGAAGGTGAGGATCACAAGTGCTAAGCTGGGGGTGGGTGTGGGGAGACCCACTTTTAAATAGAAAGCCCTCATTGATAAGATGAGATTTGAGCAAAGAAGGTGCTGGAGTTACCTGCTGCAGAGATTTGTGAGAAGAGCATCCAGGCAATGGTAACAACTACAGCAAAGGCAGTGAGGGGAGTGTGGCCTGTTTGAGGAACAGCGATAAGGCCTGTGTGACCAAAAGAGAGTAAGTGAAGGGAGAGTGGTAGGAGAGGAAATCCAAGAGGTTAATGAGGCCAGATGATGTAGAGCCTCATAAACTGTCATCATCAGGACTTTGGCTTTTATTCTGAGTGAGATGAGCATTCATTGCAGACTTTTTTTTAAGTAGAGAAGTCCATGATTTGACATGAAGTCATTCAGCTGCTGTGTTGAAAACAGATTGTGGAGGAGAAAGAATAGGAGCTGGGAACAAGTCAGGAGGGCGTTGCAGTAATCCTGGCAAAAGATGATGGTGTTTCAAAGCAGGGTGGTGGCAGAGAAGGAGAGAAATCACTGGTTTATGGATATAGTTTTTGGTAGAACCAACAGGATTTCCTGACAAATTGGATGTAGGATGCGAGAGAAAGACAACAGTCAAGGAAGACTCCAACGGTTTGGGCTGAGCCATTAGAAAACGGAAGTTTCCATCAACTGAGATGGGGGAGGTTTCAGCAAAAACAGATTTGCGGGAGGAGGGGGAGGCGGGGATCAGGAATTCAGTTTGGGACTTGTTGAGGTTGAAATGCCTATTAGATGTCCAAGGGAATATGTCAAGTACACCGTTGGATATGAGTCTTGGGGAAATTTGGGGAAGATTTAAATTTGCAAGTCATTAGTGAATAGTTGGTTTTTAAAATCATGAGACTGATGAGATCTCATGTATTCCAACCCAAATACAATTATCTGCTGAATTTTAGCCAAATGATCCAGTCTCTCCACTTCTCATCTTTCTCTTCTCTACAATGATAAGATTAAGCTAAATAAACTTTTTTTTTTTTTTTTTTCGCTGGGGAAGATTCACCCTGAGCTAACATCCACTGCCAATCTTCCTCTTTTTGTATCTGAGCCGCTGCCACAGCATGGGCACTGACAGATGAGTGGTGTAGGTCAGCACCCGGGAATCGATCCCAGGCTCGCCAAAGTGGCATGTGCCAAACTTAACCACTAGGCCACCGGGGCTGGTCCTAAATAAGTGATTTTCAAGTGTGTTCCATGGAGCATTAGTGTTCTGTAGACAGAGCTATCAAGATCAGAGAGATGTTTGCTCTCTCACTGCCTAAGCCAACAAGCAATCTCATATTTTTACAATGAAAAGTAAACGTGCATTTAGAGATGGTGCAAACTGATATTTATGATGTGTATACTATAGTGAACTAGGGTGTTGAGAGTGGGGGTAACTTTTCAGATGAAATAATGAATAGCATCTCATAAAAAAACTACCTCATACATCCGCTTCGTGATTGGTCAGCTATCAAAGAGGTATGTGTAAATAAGGTACAGGTTAGCAATAGCACACAGTTATCCTAAAAATGCTTTCCAAGGTCAACATGAGTTCAAGGTTTCCTTTCTAAAAGATATTTACCAAAAATCAAATTCAAAGACTAAAAGATGATATTCCATTTCTTTTAGACCCAATTAATGATTGCAGTTGAGTATTCAGAATTTCCTCGGACCTTGAGATCATGAACAACTGATCATTTTAACTGTTGAAAAATACATGAAGTTAATGCTGGAAGAGGACGTTAGAAAAACTTCAGTCAATTACCCTATTGTAGTGGAGCCGCTGAGGCCCAAAGGTCGAAGGTCACAGTGGAACTGGAACCTAGGTCACTCCCCACTCCTAGCTCAGTGCTTTTTTCACCACACTATGCTGACTTCAACACTGCTGCTTCAGAAAAGCCACTGAAATCTACCATTAAGGAAGAAATCAACACTGATATGTGATCTTCGTATTTTCCTAATCCATTTATTTTAAATTAACGCTCTTCCTGTTTTTCCACAGTTCTGAAGACCATCCTTGCTGTTGCCTTTTGCCTGGTGTCTGGCGTCCTAGTGGTGCTGCTGTTTACCCTCATCCGCCATGGGCCCTGCTGGCAGAGAGACTCCTATCGGAACATCTGAACAGACGGCTGAATGAGGGCAGACACGCCAGGCCAATTTTTGTGACGCGACATCGCTCACCGATGCAGCATTCAAAGGACAGGCTTTCACCATGTGGGCATCACTCTGCCCACATCTGTCCCTTTAAGTCTGCCTAGAGCAGGGCCTGAACTCACAGTGACGCAGGGACAGCTGCTGGACTGACTGATGAAAGGACACCCAAGTTACTCAGCTAGGTCTCCTCACCATTGAACTCCTCATCGTGGGGTGGGCTTCTCATTCAGCTAGAAAGAGGCTCTTCTGCAAAGAATACTCGTATTCTCAGGTACAGATGTCCAGAGAGAAATACGAAGGCAAGCTCCAGTCAGCCTTTTACCTGCAAAGAGCAAAAGGTGACAAGGTGTGACAAAGACATAAATTAGAGAAGACTGGACAATGGGGAAAATTAGACTAGAAGTAGTATTACATAGGATGATTCTTAAGAAATTAGACCCAGTCAGAAGGTATAAATAAACCTTTTATTTAGCTGTTGGGTAGGTTTAATACAAACATTCACACACTCTTAAAAAGAAACACCCAGCCAGTGTTGGATAGCTAACAGATTTCTGTATGTATGTCTACATACATACACATATCTATATTGAAAATGCCTTGGGAAGAGGCTTTTAATTCTCAGAAACTGTAATATCAACTACTTCAGTTGTAGCTCAGGTCATTTTCCCCACAATTCTATAATTGGGAATAACTGGAAACTCCTTGAAGCCATGGTTCTTTTTTTTATCTCCACTATCAGAACTGGATTTTTTTTTCTTTTTGCTGAGGAAAATTCACCCTGAGCTAACATCCACTGCCAATCTTCCTCTTTTCTTTCCTTTTATGTGAGCCACCACCACAGCATGGCCACTAACAGACAAGTGGTGTAGGTCCACGCCTGGGAACCGAACCTGGGCTGCCGAAGTGGAGCATGCCAAAATTAACCACTAGGCCACCAGGGCTGGTCCTCAGAGCTGGATATTTTTAGACTTGTAATTTCCTTATTTCATTTTAAAAGTAAGAGATTTTACTTTGATAGGGGTTATTCATGGCATGATAAAACAGTAATATATTTTAATTGCTGCAAATAGATCTGAATTTCTTGAGAGGGGAGGTAGAAAGAAAAGTGGACTGAGCCATTGCTTCAGCTCCACACTGGCTTTAGGCCAATGACTTGGAACAAGTTATTTTAAATATTCAAACTTGGCTTCATAACCTACAAATGAAGAGTCTGGACAAGGTGTACATAGAAGTCACATCTAGTTCTCATGTTCTGTGAACAACATTTTTTTCATTTTATGCTCTGGATTGGTCATTGTCCAAGGAGGCACTTTCATGAATGGTACCATTGTAGTAAGCCTGAAATTTATTCTAAACAGTTGTATTCTGTGCTGAGCCTCCAACCATCCAGTCGGTGGGAAATTCAGTCTCATTCGTTAGTAGGGATCTTCACCTCCTCAGGTTCTACTAAAGGTCCCAGAGTGTACCTGGTAGGAGGAGTCAGTTGACAGTCCTCTAGGCCACTGTCCACACTGGTCTCCAATAAGCTCACTGTCCGTGCCTACATGGTCTTCTAAACGTAGGCGGAGGACATCTGTGCCATGGCTCCCAAGGCCACACACTTGGAGTTCACCAGCCTGGCATTGTCCAGTCTTCTACTTGGGATCTTTGCCCAGCACCGAAACCCCCCCCAAGACTCACTCCCCATCTCTTAGTCTCAGGAATCTTCCTCTCCCCTTGTATCCCACAGCTTCCACCTTTAAACTCTAAGCACTTACCTCTGTCACCTCACGTTCTGCTATTTCTCACTGAGCCAAGGCTACTGCAGGCAAAAGCCTGGGAAGGACTTGTCTTCTCTTGCCTGGCCACTCCTGCTTCCAGCTACAACACAAGAAGCACGTAGGCAAAGAAACGCAAGATCTGGCTACATTCTCAGCTTGGGAAAGGGAAAAGTGTCTATAGCAGCAAGAACATCAATGACAAATTTCTGTCTCCATAGAGTAGACAGCCATACAATAATGAAGCCACAATATCTTATGCTAATATAAGTGATGAGACTTTAAAATGGAAGTACAAACAGAACCACAAGTCATAGATTTTCTGATTCATTCAACAAAGATTGATGGTGGACCTAATATGAAGAGTAAGGTGTTGACCCCAAGAGCTACCTTTACAGGGTTGGTAGAATTTAAAAGTAAAAGCTTTCACAACCTTTTCCTCATATCATCTTTTCATACTGTCAGTAGCCAAAAGGATTTCTACTTTCTGTTGGTTCTGAGGGATTTTTTTTAAGACCCCCCATTTCTCTTCCTTCCACTATCTCTTGATTATTGTAAAGAAAGTTCTCACTCTCAATTTAGTTGTTTCTTTCACCTTCCACAGAGCTACTCTGTCGATAAATACTGTAATTGTTTTTCATACTTCATGGCAGGATGAAAAATCACAAATGACAAATGATCTATAGTGATAAAGCAGAGAGCACAAATGTACTGTAATGTTTCTCAGGAAATAAGCTACTCTTCCAACTTCAGCAGGAAAATATGTGGATTCACTCTACTGATAAAAGTGGCTTTTTCAGATGGGTCAGGGAAGACCAGTCTAGATGACATGATGATAAATATTGCTTGAAAGACAATTGCTAGGGAGATAACCTCTGCTCTGAAATGTATTCCCCACATTTGAACCACTGTAGAGGGCTTTGAACAGGATTAGAATAATGCAATAATTACCACATAGGGAAATTCCCTAACATAAAAAAATATCAACAATGTATATATAGGAAAGTTCTAAGGAAGAGTTGTAGGTACAATATTCCTAGCTGGAATGGTGTTGTACAAAGAAAATATTAAGAGACTAGGATTATAAAAAGAGTTGTTTATGGCATTAGAAGAATGCAAGCATTAGAGACAAACATTTTGCTGGAAGTCATTCAACCAACAAACCTTTTCTTCTTAGAACTGGCGTTTCTTCTCCCTGAATTCATCATTCAATAGGGAACCTATTCTCCCAACTTCCCGTTCTCTTTCTGTCTTGTTCTAATATTCTTAGCATTGACTCTTTTTTTCATAGCCGGGGGATTTCTCAGTAAGTGAAAATGAAAAAGTTAGTTCTCTTTCAAAACTCTCTTTATAGAAACCCCGCATTTGAGCAATAATGGATGTGTGCTACATTTTGGTGCTTTAGACCGGGGCTGCTGAGTAGAAATATAATGTGAGCCACAAATGACAGGCACATATGGGATTTTAAATTTTCTAACAGCCACATTTTAAAAAGATAAAAATAAAGACTGAAATTAACTCTAATAATAAAATTTATTTAACCCAGTGCTTACCCCAAAATATCACTTCAACATAAAGTTAATATTTTACAAACTATTAATAAGATATTTTACAGTTTTTTTTCATACTAAGTGATTGAAATCTGATATGCCTTTTACTCTCTTAGCACATCTCACTTTGGACTGGGCACATGTCAGGTGTCAATAGCCATATGTGGCTGATGGCTGACATATTGGACTGTTGCACTTTAAACCATCAGGTGACAAACTTTTTGAAGCAACGAGAATGTATTCTTTGTTATAATTTGTAAAACCCACTTTCAGGTGAAGAAATAAAAGTTATCTTTTTTACGTCTACCTCTTATTATTTTTGCATGCATGCCTAATTGATAAAAGATTTTTCCGAAATGTTTTCTTTGTAAATCTGTCTGAACTGTAGCAGTGTCTAGTTTTTCTGAAACTACCCTAAACTAAGTGGACTAGTTCCTCTTCTTATTAAATGCCTTAAGAAGAAATCTGACAGCACGCTTAGAAAAGAAGTACTGCTAGAGTTTAAAAGTTTATTAAATTTTTTATTACAAGTAATTGCATTCAAACAAAAATAAATGCAGATAATACAGAAGAGCATAACAAACAAAGTGGAAGGTCTTCCTACCCACTTCCAACTGTCAGAGGCTTTCAATTCTTGGGGATATCTTTCTCACTTTTGAGAGCCTATGGATGCCCCCAAACTCTGTCTTCTGGTACTTCAAGCCGGTAAGACTATGGGGTTTTTTTCCCTCCATTTTAACCGTCTCATCCTCACCCTCTGCCCCTGCATGGCACAGACTTGAACCTGCTCTCAGGCTAAAAGCCACAAAAAAATAAAACTCACCTAGCACTATTCGCTTTTTTCTAAATGCTGATTCCCCTCCAGTATCTGCCTGCCTTTGATTGCTCCCAAGTACCTTTCATTGTGGTTGTATTTTACACTTTGCCCAGAGTTTACAGTTATTTGTGGAAGTTAGTGTGCTAAGAGGTACATAACCATGATCAGAAGTGGATGCTCTCACTTGCATGAGAAGGGCTGATTCGAGGTTCTGTGTAAGGGTGGGAGTTGTAGCATCAGGTGCTCAGTAGTGTTTGTGGGCAGGGAAGTGGTATGTCAGCTAGGGACATCTCAAAAAATAAAAGGACTTTACTTTTGGCTAGGGTGAATGTTTGTATGTATGTATCTCTTGGGTGGAATGACCTTGACTTTTAAAAATTTTCCCTCAGTGTCTGTAATGTAAGTCCTGAATTACCTCAACATCTGCTCTGTCTCTCCTTCAGGGCACAGAAGCCCCACTAGGAGTCTTCTCCAAAGAGGACCCTCTTTCCACAGAGAGCGCTCCTCCGGATTCTACCTTGGTGGCAGCCACTCTGATATATGGAGGAAGGAGTGGGATGAGCAGCTGATGGGAAATGCATTCTTGAGTTGCTTACCCCGACAAGTGCTCCACAGTTCCCCGATGCTCTATATGAGGAGCCAAGCTCCAGCCTTCTCTGTGGCTCCCTCAGAAAGAAACACATTCATCTCTGGTCGGCCCTAGTTTCCACCACATTTTTCAAAAGAAATCTTAGCTTAGGGGCTGGCCCCTTGGCCGAGTGGTTAAGTTCGCGCGCTCCGCTGCAGGCAGCCCAGTGTTTCGTTGGTTCGAATCCTGGGCGCAGACATGGCACTGCTCATCAAACCACGCTGAGGCAGCGTCCCACATGCCACAACTAGAAGGACCCACAACGAAGAATACACAACTATGTACCGGAGGGCTTTGGGGAGAAAAAGGAAAAAATAAAATCTTTAAAAAAAAAAAAAAAAGAAATCTTAGCTTAAGAAAAGGTTGAGTACGTTGTGCCATTATTTGACATGGGAAGTCCAGTACTGAATTACTTATAGACCCTGACTTTATAGGGCTCACAGAGTAAATAATTTCTTTAACTGAGTTTTTCACTTTTCACTGGCTTATATTATTTTTCCTTCAGAGCGCCTCAAGAATTTGGCCCTCCCTTCTGTAGTCACCACAAAATTTTGCTCTTCAGCACCACATTTCTGGTTGTAAACCACGTGGTCACCCCTCCTTCCAGTTAATTTTGCACAATATTTTTAAGACTTATTTCTGGCCCTTGTTCAAGAACCCTATATATTGGGTTGATTCAAATTAGTTCCTCTATAAATACCTGTTGATTGACCCAACCA